GAGTGCCCTTAACTTCCTAAGCACCTTTCTCCTCTCCCTATGATCGTAACCACAGATACTTTCTTTGGTTCTTGCTGGCCATAAAAGTCACAATATACCGTACCCCAAAGTCAGGCGAACAACAGTGCCCAATGGGAGTGAGTTAATAAATCCAGTCTCTGTCTCTGCTCTGCTCTTGCTATCTTTTTCAAACCGCTTTCAAATATGCTTACTTTTCTAATCTTTCCCCTCCTCTCATCCACAGTATTATCCCTTATCACCGGGTTTTCATCTCAAGTTCTCCAATTTGCTCACGCAAATTGAGTGCTCATTAAGATATTTTAAATTAAGACCTTTCATGCAAAGCGTGTCACATATTTCTCTCCCCCTGTTTTTAAAAAAAACTAAATTCCTTATCACAATGTCTCAGGCGGTTTACATTATATTCTATTAGAAATCCATTTTGTCCAAGGTTGTTGCAATTCATAGATTAAAGCCTTTTCCTGGCTTTTTGTATTGTTCAGAATACGTTTATGAATTCACCTCTTTAGTAGTCAGACACATACTACATATGCTGGTATCCCAGTCTTTGATAATGTTGGTCGGCAGAGTGTGCTTTTCCTTTCAAATGTGCATATAATTTCAAGGCTTCCTTGATAAGTGTGTGTTGTGGTTTGCAAACAGGGACGATTTAGGGTTCTGAAATCCCCATTGCAAGGTCAAAACTGAGAAAGCAAGAGCGCATTCAGAGCCACAGTAGCCGTTCTTTGACTAGGGGAAGAGCTGTAGCTCAGTGGCAGAACATCTGCTTTGCATACATAAGGTTCCAGGTTCAATCTCCAGGTCAGGCTGGTCCCCTGCCTGAAACCCTGGAAAGCTGCTTGCAGTCAGTTGGACCAGGGATCTGACTCAGTACAAAGCAGCTTCCTGTCTTCCTATTGCATTTGATTCAGCCTGGCACTATATAAGGAGGCAGCAATTTCTGTCCCATTCTATGCACATTGCAGCCAGCCGTGTTTCTGTTCCACTGCAGTTCAGCTCGCACTAAAACTGACATGATCCATCTTGCTATGTGCTGCGACCAGAACTAATGAAATTAAATATGTCCTCAATTATGACATTAACGTCAGGGCATAGCAGAGGAAACACCTAAGACAACATGGGAAAACAATGCAATTATTTATGAATGTTCACAGACTAAGAAAACATTGACTTGCAATATTCAGACACATGATCATCATTTCTGACCTCAGGCAGACGTGCAATTTGCAGCAATTTGCTCTCGTTTTCATTCCTGGTGAAATTCTCTGAAATCCCTAGGTGGTGCAGAAGGAGAGGGGAAGTGGGCAGGGAGACTCTTCCAGCCACCACCCTCTTTGGCTTGACCTGCCCTCAGATATAGCTCCATGCCCATCTCAGCTGTAACCTGAGGGTTGGGGTTAGGCTTAGGAGTTAGAGGTCAGGAAGTTAGGGTTAGTGTTAGGGGGTTAGGGTTTTGGGTTAGTTTGGGTTTAGAGGTTAGGGGTGCCCCAGTCACTCTGGGTGGCTCTGAACAAAATATTTAAAACACAATAAAAACAACATCAGACATTAAAAACTTCTGTATAGAGGGCTGCCTTCAGGTGTCTTCTAAAAGTTGTATAGTTGTTTATCTCCTTGATATCTGGTGGGAGGGCGTTCCACAGGGCAGGTGCCACTACCAAGAAGGCCCTCTGCCTGGTTCACTGTAACTTCACTCCTTGCAGTGAGGGAACCACCAGAAGACCCTCAGAACTGGACCTCAGTGTCCAGGCTGAACGATTAGGGTGGAGACGCTCCTTCAGGTATACAGGACCAAGGCTGTTTAGGGCTTTAAAAGTCAGCAACAACACCTTGAATTGTGCTCGGAAACGTACCGGGAGTCAATGTAGATGATCCCGGCAGCCGTGCCCGATCACCAGTCTAGCTGCCACATTCTGAATTAGTTGTAGTTCCCAAGTCACCTTCAAAGGCAGCCCCACAAAAAGTGCATTGCAATAGTCCAAGTGGGAGATAACCAGAACATACACCACTCTGGTGAGTCGGTGTACAGGCAGGTAAGGTGTCAGCCATCACACCTGTTGGAGCTCATAGACAGCTGCCTTGGACACAGAACTAACCTGCACTTCCATGGATAGCTGTGAGTCCAAAATGGCTCCATTTTGGTAAATAAATAAGATTATAGTATAACAATAAATTATAAAATAAAAAATGTGTTTGTGCAGACCAGGGCCTGCCCTAAACTCTCCGAAGGAATGGTCACACCCTGCTTACAAATATAGGCTTCTCTCTCATACACACACACACACACACACACACACACAAACACACACTCCCCGCCCCAGGAGGCAATCCATCTCTGTCACATTGTCTCTTCTTCCAAGCCAATTAGTTATCCTGACATGCTCAGAGGCTTACCCGAAGTAGGATGCTGGTACCTAGCTTTTTCAACAGTAATTTTAGAAAGCTATGGGGTCAAGAACTTAAAAGCAGGTTCTTACATTGCAAAGAGGAGTAGCAGATTCACAGACTACACTGACCTACTATGAAGGCTTTGAGGAGATGGGATTTTGTTATGGGGTAACTAAATCTTATGAACCAGGGGTGGGCAACCTTTTTCCAGCCACATTCCCTTCCGGGCAACCCTCTGTCACCAGTCTGGGCAGTAACAGCCATTATCCAAGTTCAAGGGTGCATAACAGTCAAGGAAGGTGTGAAGCAGGGTTGGTGAGGGCTGTGCCCTGGGGAGGTGGCTGGGGAGATTCCCAAAGGCCAGGCAGAGAAGCCTGGAAGGCTACATATGGCCCCCAGACTTGTGGTTTCCCATCGCAGTACTAAACTAACAGCAAGGAAAGGTGGAACACCAAATGAAAAGGAAGATCAAAGTTAAATATTTACTTGTAGAGCAACAATATTTGCAAATCTGGAATGGATCTTCTGGAGTTTTCTATTTGCATACTTTAATTAATCTAAAAAAAATATTAAAACTAATCTCACAAAGGAAAGGGTCAGGGTATTAATTAACTTGAGATTCATTGCTTTTGTATAATTTAGAAGTTCGACATGGAGCAGAAAATGGTGTTAATAAAAACTAAGTTACTGTGACAGGTATAATTTCACGGATTAGCCCAAACTTCCAACATTCTCACCAAGTTTAAGGCTAACCTCTCTGTTTTACACAGCCCTGCTTCAATTAAAATACTTTTTTTTTCTCCTCCAGATGAAAATTACATTTCATTCTCCCTTTAACCTCAATATTTCTCTATTAATGTGATTTTTCTACCATGCAGTTCTTAAACGGAATGCAAGTCACAACCACAGTAATGGGGAAATCTAAACCTGTCGCTTAATGTTGAGTAACCCTTCTGACTGTCCAGCTCAGGGACAAATTAACAACTCTTTTTGGACAGGCTTTCCCCGTCTTCCATGTGACAGCCCTTCAGATATTTGAATAGGGCTCTCCTATCACTGCTCAGTCTTCTCCATTTAGCCTCAACCGTTCCTCACAAGGCTTGCTTTCCATAGGGCTGCTGTTTTTAAAACATTATTCCATCCCATAGCTGTGGTTGGCAAATGACAAAGCAGAGGGGCAGAAGAATGATTTGAGAGGGATCAGAAATGGTGCCTTATATAGGTTTCCAGTCAAAGTCCATACTTCAGGCAAGGGACAGCTAAATTTTGCCTTCCAGGTGGTGTTGGATGTCAACTCCATCATCCCCAGAGTTGCAGCCCTCCAGCATCAGGGAGGAAGGGTTGGGGAAGATATTCAGTGCAATGCCACAGAAGACAGAATCAGGATTCAAAATGACCTTTCGTCCAACAGGTAGGGATGGGGGCAGAAATTTGATTCTCTTTCCATTTAAAGGTGCATCTTTCCAAAACAGTATGTGAATCGAAACACAGTCATCACTCGAAACTCACGCTTCTCTGGATTTTGCAATGCAGTTCTCCAGCCAAATAATATGGAGAAAAATGCAGATACCAAGATGAGAGTGTGTGTAATGATGCTTATCTTACGAAACACACAACCACGCATTATGTCAGGGGGGATGCAAAAACGCAAAATGCATACAAAGACATGTATATTAGTACAGTGGTACCTCTAGATATGAACGGGATCCATTCCGGAGCCCCGTTTGCATCTAGAGGTAAATGTAACTAGCGACGGCATGTCTGCGCGCGTCGCTTTTTGCCGCTTCTGCGCATACATGTGACGTCATTTTGAGTGTCCGTGCATGCGCAAGCAGCAAAACCCGGAAGTAATGCTCTCCATTACTTCCAGGTTGCCGCGGAGCGCAACTCGAACACGCTCAACTTGAAGCGTATTCAACCCGAGGTATGACTGTATAAATTTGTAGATGAATTTTCATGAGGACTTTTTAAGCTATTTTAAAAAATAATGCAAACTGATGTGGAAATGTAGAGAACTCAGCTTAAAGCGGGAAAAATGAGGGAAAGCAAGATTGAAGGAGTCATCTATCCCTACACAGGGGATGCTATTAAATAGTTAACTCCAACTTGAATGTTGTGATTTACTGCTGGCTGACTTTTGGAGAAGCAGCCAGGCCAGCTATTACATCCTTATCTTGTTGCTGGTGCAACATCTCCTTGTGTCCAGCTCCTAGGCAGAACACCTTCTCTGTATATTTCAGCAGTCTTGTCTCGGTCAGCTCCTTGCCCTGCTGGACAGCTCCATGGGCAAGAAAAGGGAATCCCAAGCCATGCTGCTGGGCTTCTATGACTGGGACAAACTAACCATGCGCTAGTCCATGAACATCTATGCCATAAGACATTTGTTAGCCTTTAAGACGTCACCACAAGACTCTTTGTTGCCCCCAGTCCTGGAACATTTTTCCAACACTCGAAAGCTGTGCTCATGTTGGAAATACAAAAAGAAATTGATTCCTATTCAAGGGTAAAGATCAATAAAAGCATCTGAATTTTCCCCCACTGTCTTTTAACTAGAAATGGCAGCAGCATGCAGCTCAGCTTGGATTTCTTACCTGCTCTCTGCATTTGGATTGATGTGCTCACATACAATGGTGGCAGTGGTCTGTGTCCTCCCATTGTCCACGTCTTGTTGAACTCCCCACTGGTCCGGATCACTGACTCGGATGTCTATTATCTTCACACCTGAAGCAGCCTTAATTCTACCAAGAAAAGAACAGGCACAGCGTTAGTTCTACATGACGCCTTTTGGGGGTAGGAGAAATATCACAAGACACAACAGCAGCAAGAATACTTATTGCAAAGTATTGGAAGACACAAGATCTACCCACTCTGGAAGAATGGCAGATGAAGGTGATGGACTATATGGAACTGGCGGAAATGACTGGCAGAATCCGAGACCAGGGAGAAGAGTCAGTGGAAGAAGATTGGAAGAAATTTAAAGATTATTTACAGAAATATTGTAAAATTAATGAATGTTAGAATGATGTTGGATAGAAATTAAGTGGTTTTTAGCTGCAATACTATAAGGGAATATGAAAAATGGATTACTAACCGGTAAAAATTTAACGTTACAATATTTTAAGATTAAAGATTAGGATAAACAAAGAGGGGAAGGATTTGCTGAACCAACAAACCGAACTGGAATACAGAAAAGGGAGGCGTGAGGAGGTCCGGGAAACAAGCTAATGAAAAATAAGTGATGGAAAGATTGAGTTGTTTTTAACTATTTTTATTTTGTATTTTTCTTTTTTCTATTTTTATATTGTAATATCTTGAAAATCTTAATAAATATCTTATAATAATAAAAAAAAAGAAATCTCACAGGAGGCCCCAGTGGATGGTCCCGGAGCATATGTTCTTAATTTACACACCCAGGAACACCGACTGGCCTGCAGCTTCACAAGGCGTGAACGTAAGTGTTGTAAGAATGCACACACATTGTGTCTCTCAGTCTGACCTACCTCATGGGGCTGTTGTGAGCATAATTTGGAGAGGAAATGAAGACTATGTACGCCACCTTGAGCTCCTTGGAGGGATGTTGGGACATAAATGTAATTAATAAATAAATAACTGGAAAATGCACCCTGCAGGCACTAAGCAACTGAAACTAGGCCCATTCACTATGCACATTCAGGAAGGCAGGTACTGAAGGCATCCAATAGCCCGTGGCTTACAGGAGAGTCTTGCTCTGATCTTCTTAGGCCCTTAACTGGAACCAGTTAAGAACATGTGTGTGTTAATTTATGACCCCCAAAACTGAAAGAACCACATCTAAAAGAGAATGAATATTTGTTTCCTTCTGGAAGCAGCCTCTCACAATGCTGATCTCCTCTCTGGTTGGATTTAGCTTATCAAGGAAGCTTTCATTCATTTCTCATAGAAAGCTCCCCTTCCCCCAGTCCTTACCCTGCAGCCTCAATCGACACCTCACCCTTCTTGTTACTCCACTGGCTCCATGGAAGTTTAGACTAGCATTCAGCGAGATGCAAATCAGACCCTTGGTGGCTGTCCCTGGTTCCCTGGTTGGGCAAACTGCCAAGGAAGACAAACCGCTCATTGAGTCAAGGAGCAGGTTGTTTAAATATTTAATCAGAATTAAAATGGAGCAAGCTGTGCAATCCACAAGGAACTACAGATGCAACCACTTTGAAGGAGAATAGATAGACACCCTGGTTCATAGATTTGCCTCTTAATGAGGCTTCATATGACAGAGGGAGGGAGAAGCCTCCTGGTGACTGTAGTGGCTGCTGGTCCCCAAAACACTTACATAGTTGTCCTTAGGGTTGACTGAGCAGAAGATTGGTTGTCCCCAGAATGAATCAGATCCCCTTCTATGTTTCAGGCAAACATGGAAAATGCCTCAAATGGTGGGATAATTTCAACCTTCGAAAGAGCATTCCTACATTGGCATCATCTTTTTATCCCTTGGATCATAGGGAGGGATCAACTCCCATGCTCTTAAGCACAAACAGACCCAGTGGGCCTCTCTACCTTCTTTCAAAATGGGGGGTCACCAACTTTTTGGAGCCGGTGGGCACATCTGGAATTCTGAGAAAATACTGAGGGCACCAGTCACAAAATGGCTGCTGTAGGGGTGTGGCACAGCACAAAATGGCTACTGTGGGAGGCATGTAGGAGAGGCCTAGCAAATGCAGATAGGAACTAAGCAGGAAAAGCTAACAGTCTCTCATGCATTGTGGGTTTTTGATGGGATATTTACTTTCACAGGCACCATAGAAGGTACTGGCAGGCACACCAATACCCATGAGAGCTTTGGAATTCCCTGCTCTAAAATGAAGTTGTTTCTAATGTCATTTGCTATGCTGGTCCTGCCCTGCTCCAAGGGGGGGTGGGCTCCAATTCATTTTGGGGGTGAGCACTCTTCTGCTCATCCCTCCCTAAAGTAGATATAGGCTGGCAGGGTGCCTGAGAGTAGAATCAAGGTGGGTAGCCACTTAAGGTGGGCTATGGTATTTGTCCCAGTTCTGCTCGCATCCACTTGGTACTTCACAGCATTCTGAACTGCATCTGCTGCTGTAAGGCTGAAGTTACTTCATATGAAAAGGCATAAAGACTAAGGAATCAAGCAAACAATATTTTATGGTTTGTATTGTATGATAAGGGTTGTAAACCACTTATTATTAAATAATACAAATGAATAAGACCTGGGTGCTTCACTGCCTATCACAGGGGTGCTTATGTCACTATATGCCAATTTGGAATAGGGGTTTAATTTCTTTCAAACATTCTTGTGGTGTCACCTCCAAATTCTCCTTTCTTTCTGATCATCTATTCTATCCAACTTAGTATTCATTACTACATCAAAAACTATTTCAGGTTTGGTTCAAGTTCAGTTTCAGCTCTAAGTATATGAAATGGATTGGACTGATCTGCTCTTCTCCACAAGCCAGACTACCCTCTTATCTATTTAATCTATATATTTTTTATTGGCACAACCCGTAATAAGCAGCGCTCCCAGTTTTCTACAGCACCACAGCACTGCTGCCACAAATGGCCAGTGGGTGGTACTGATGCTTCCCAGTACCACGGGCATTCGAGTAGAATTCAACTTGCTCCTCTAAAGCTGCCAACTGCGGCCTAGATACTCAATGTGAGGAACTTGCCACACAGCCTATATTGAACTTTCAGACCATTCACCTGTCTCTGTTTCCCTGCCTACAGGTACCAGCCCTCCCAGGCTGTCCACCCATTAGGTCTTAGGGAGAGCGAAGATCTCGAAAGAATTTGTTAAAACACACAATTTGCAGCAAAGTGCAAAAGTCACATTGATTAGGTGGAAGCTAAGCATGTTTACATATTTCCCGTTGCCACCCATTGTGTGATTTCAGAGCCCAGTCCTTCGTCCCTAACAGGCCGGATCGGATAAATGCTGACACTCCCATCTGCTCAAGCCAACTGCCGTGTTTCCCCGCCCTTCAGCCAGGATGCAATGCAACACATGTCTTGTCCATCCAAGGACACTCGGTGATGCTATTTTTACTCAACTGGGCTTCTGAAGAGATTTGCTGACAATGCATCTCCTGTCAACTGGCTATTTGCTTCTGGCCTGCAGGGGTGCCGTCTCCTTACAGAAAACCTCCTGGGTTTTCAGCAGACATGCTTGGTTGTCTGCTACAGACGCAGATTTCATTCACTGTCTTCCCAGGTTAGCATCATGCCAGTCCAGTAGTGGCTGGTGCCTTTTGGGATTGGGAGGGTGGAAGACAGGGAGCCCAACAGCAGGTGGCGCCAGAGCCAATAACGGGAAGACTAAGGAAGAAGAAGATGACAGACAGTGCCACCCCCTTGGCTCAGTTGGATGTAAGATGCCAGGGGCGGGAGCTAGGAGCAAGTTAGTAATAACTCACACAGTGTCAGTGAAGATGACTCTTTATTCAAAAGGCCAGGCCTATTGAGCACAGCCACTCTTCCCGGTAGCTCTTGCCCCAATGACACAATGTGTTCTCACAGTTCTCTAAGTCTCCTCCTCCCTCAGTCCTTTCCCAAGCAATCTGAGGCTCCTTCATCTTGTCTGTCTTTGCTCTGCCCTCTTCATACCTTCACTTCTGCCTCTGATTCTGGAATGCTCCCTACTGCAGCCTTTTCCTGCTCACTAAACTGTTACCTCTTCAGTTTCCGACACCTCTTCCTCCTAGTCTTCTCCTTTGTCTCCCTCTGACCACTCATTGTCATCCCACCATCCCATCCCTGGGCTCTGTGCCTTCTTCCCTCGGGGGTTCCCCCACTGGTGCCTCCCACCACTCCTCTGAATCCAGCCAGCCCATGACAGAAGACAGACAGGTGGGGCAGGACACCCTTTGCTCTTATGGTTAAGCCTCCACTGAGTAGTTCTCCACTGGGTAGTCCCCTCACTTCCCAAAGCGCATGAACACACACATTACAATCTTTCTGGACACCAGAATTTAAGCACTGAATCTGATACATTATCAAACTGGGAGGCTCCTCTCTTGTGCCACACCTGTGTTTTAGTCACAGCAGAGTAATGCAGGGGAGAATCAGTGGAATTCAGAGAGTGCCATCCAAACCTGTGATCAGGAACTGTTGGGCATAAGGACAACCCCCCCCCCCCAGACAGCACAATCAGAAGGATTTGTGGACCCGCACCAAGCCACCCCCAACCTACCACTATTTATTGCTCTATGGGTGCTCATGTGCCTTTGTATCAATGCAGATAATTTGCAAGTGCAAATGTTCTGCAAATCAGTGTCCCCCCTCTCTCTTTTATGATGGTCTTTCCTATCATTTGGTGATGGTGATTTCCAAGTGGCTTTCCACCATAAGGTCACTCCTTTACAGGAAACTCTCTGTGGAGCCTTGTGAAAAAGATCATGTCTCAGTGTAAGGCATTTGGGGGGGGCATGGGGAAAGTGGGGGGAAATTGGCAGGGAGGGTTGTGGGGAAGGAACAGGGTAATGTATGATCCAACTCAAACAGGGGTGGATCTGATGTCAAATGGGCCAGACCTTTGGAACTAGAGAGAGTTCACATTTTGGACCTGCTACCTTGCAACATCACTAGCAAAAATTGCAATGATAACATGGAGGGATCCTCTTTTCATACCTGCAACAAGGAGATCAGAAGCTTCCATTTATGGTTTTAAACAAGCCACAGTTCTACCTGATGCCCAAACTTGGAAAACTGTAGTTTCTTCAAACTCTAGTTCAGGCTTCCCCAATTTGGTTCCCTCGAGATCTTTGAAATTACAACCCCCATCAGCCCCAGCCATCATGGCCAATGCTCAAGGATGCAGAAAGTTGTGCTCTAACCAGTTTGGAGATTAGAAGGATTAGAATTGGCTGCTTCATTTGCTCTTCCTAACTAGAGTTTCATCAAACCACAGTTCCCTGTGTTTGTATGTCACAGGTAACTCTGTTTCGTTGAAAATCAGGTACAGAAGCTTCCAGTTTTCCATCCATATGCATGAAAGAGGATAGAGGAGAATATGCAAGCCAAAGACTCACCACAGCTCACTCACATTGTAGGGAAAAAACAGGCTCCCCTTTTGGGCTTGAGAGCATTTTGTGCTCTCCCCCTCCCTTCCCGTCCAACACCTCCACAAAGCTTTCCTTTTAAAACTGTACCTGAATCACACATCATCGCTCCTGTGAGCTTTTTTAATTTTTCCACTGCTGCTATTTTTATATAACCTTTTCCAGATGCATTGTCTAACCCCCTCCCTTCCTCCTTGTCAGCCATGCCAGGATGCAGCAGGTATGAAATAGCTTATTAGAGCATTGCACTCCGCACAAACAGCATGGCTTTGGCAAACAAAAGGAAAGGGAAACCAGAACGCTTGGCAGGAAAGCCGAGAGGTGGAAATTATGAAGCCAAAAGGGGACTTGAGCCCTCCTCTGAGGGCTTGAGCGAATTCCCCTGCAGACCATAGAAGGTTCATAGAATTGTAGAATGCAGGGATCTTTTGTCCTAGGTGGGGCTCGAACCCATCATCATGAGAGTAAGAGTCTCATGCTCTGCTGACTGAGCTATCCCAGATATTCAAGAAGCATTGTTGTCTCCAGCTGTGGAGGCAGAGCTTAGCCCCTTTACTTGCAACCTGAGGTGAAGGGCAAGATGCCCCCTGCCCACTTTCACATCTAACAACCTGACCAGGCTGGCTGCTGAATCTCCTTTCAACCACTGGCAATGGGGCATCGCCCTCTACTGTACCTGAGGAAGAAGACTACCTTAGGAGGTGCAGAGCAAACAGTCTGTGAGCACCTAGAAAGGAATGCTGTGATCACCAATAGTCAGCATGGATTTCTGAAAAATAAGTCATGTCAGACTAACCTGATCTCGTTTTTTGACAGAATTACAAGCCTGGTAGATGAAGGGAACGCAGTGGATGTAGCCTACCTTGATTTCAGCAAGGCATTTGACAAGGTGCAAAAAACATGAGAGGCACAAATACAAGATGGGTGACACCTGGCTTGAGAGTAGTACATGTGAAAAGGATCTAGGAGTCTTGGTTGACCACAAACTTGACATGAGCCAACTGTGTGACGCGGCAGCTAAAAAAGCCAATGCAATTCTGGGCTGCATCAATTGGAGTATAGCATCTAGATCAAGGGAAGTAATAGTGCCACTGTATTCTGCTCTGGTCAGACCTCACCTGGAGTACTGTGTCCAGTTCTGGGCACCACAGCTCAAGAAGGACACTGACAAACTGGAACGTGTCCAGAGGAGGGCAACCAAAATGGTCAAAGGCCTGGAAACGATGCCTTATGAGGAACAGCTAAGGGAGCTGGGCATGTTTAGCCTGGAGAAGAGGAGGTTAAGGGGTGATATGATAGCCATGTTCAAATATATAAAAGGATGTCACATAGAGGAGGGAGAAAGGTTGTTTTCTGCTGCTCCAGAGAAGCAGACACGGAGCAATGGATCCAAACTACAAGAAAGAAGATTCCACCTAAACATTAGGAAGAACTTCCTGACAGTAAGAGCTGTTCGACAGTGGAATTTGCTGCCAAGGAGTGTGGTGGAGTCTCCTTCTTTGGAGGTCTTTAAGCAGAGGCTTGACAACCTTATGTCAGGAGTGCTCTGATGGTGTTTCCTGCTTGGCAGGGGGTTGGACTCGATGGCCCTTGTGGTCTCTTCCAACTCTATGATTCTATGATTCTAGAGCAGCCTCATTTAAAGGCAATCGGCGGGATGCCGACATCTCCTAGTATCCACCGCCTAAGGCAGCTGTATCATTCTGCCTCATGGGAGGGCTGGCCCTGTAACCTGGGAGCAAACCCTGCCCTGGAGCCTGAGTTTTGCCCATCCCAAGCCAGCCTCATGTACCCACAGCTTGGCACAGAGAGAGTGAAAAGGATTGGTCTGCACCTCCATGCACACCTGTGCTCCCCCATCTTCCTGCAGAACGGCACACAAAGACAAAGGACTCAGGATGGATCTACACACAGGGGAAAAACCGCTATAAATAAGTCAGAAATTAGATCATTATAATAAAATAAAAGAAACGCTATGTAAAAAATGCATAAATTTTTTTTTGCTCTCTGTCACCATCTGGTGTTGCATGTTTATAATGCATCCAAAGCATTGGGGGTTTTTCTTTACTAATGTAGCTGAGTCCTGAGTTGCGGCTTACACAGCAATAGGGCTTTTTTCAGCCAGAACTCACCGGAACGGAGTTCCCGTACCTCTTTGGTGTGTTCCAGCACATATTCCGTCACTTGGCACAGCACTCTGTGTTGAGTGATGCAGCGGAGGGATGGTTTGGTGCAGTGCAATGGTGGGACGGGTGGGCAAAAAGAAGCTTTTTTAGGGGCAAGGTCCCTTAAAAAAACTCAACAAGTTCCAGCACCATTTTTTCTAGGAAAAAAAACCTTGCATAGCAAGATTCTAACATGCCATGCCCATCCCCAGGGCAAATACACTGACAAAGTAGGGAAGAATGGGCAACAAAAATTACAGGCCATTCTTGGTAAATAAGGACAGTTGGGCCATATGCAATGAATCTCTTATAAACTTAAATTTTGGGGATTTCCCAGGAGCCAGCCCATTGCTGCAGTCTAGAATTCTAAATCCTACTTGCAAAATTTTTATAATGCTGAAGTTATGCTAAATCCCATTTTGAACTATCTCAGACTACACAAATTCACAGAGGACGTAACTGTGAATGGCTACTAACAATGGTGGTGACTTTATTAGCTCCAAGATCAATGGCAGAATGCCCTGACTATTAGTTGTTGCAGGTGGCGCTGTGGGTTAAACCACAGAGCCTAGGACTTGCCGATCAGAAGGTTGGTGGTTCGAATCCCAGTGACGGAGTGAGCTCCCGTTGCTCGGTCCCTGCTCCTGCCAACCTAGCAGTTTGAAGCATGTCAAAGTGCAAGCAGATAAATAGGTACCGCTCCAGCGGGAAGGTAAATGGCGTTTCGGTGCGCTGCACTGGTTCGCCAGAAGCGGCTTAGTCATGCTGGCCACATGACCCGGAAGCTGTACGCCAGCTCCCTTGGCCAATAAAGCGAGATGAGCGCCGCAACCCCAGAGTCGGTCACAAATGGACCTAATGGTCAGTGGTCCCTTTACATTTACCTTTACCTTTACTGTGAGAACAGACTGCTGGACTAGGTAGATCCTTGATCTGATCCAGCAAGGCTCTTTGGTCTTTAAAATCAGAAGAAAATGTTAAAAACTATTCTGCCAAGCTTTGGGGATATGCTGATATAATTAAGAACCAAAACTGGAACATCTCCGGTGGAAATGAAAGTATTCTGGAGTTCATTTAACCTTTCTTGAAACTGCTCCAGAGCCCCCCAACTCAAGGGACTCCAGTACTATCTGGGGAGCATCAGATTGTGGGGAGGCTAATCAAAACTATCACATTTCAGAAGATTCTTCAAGACGCCTTTCCAAGCACAACAGTGACATTCTCCTAAGGGACCCTCTTGGGCCCAGAATTGACGGGCAAGTTTATTGCACATATAATATTCAGAGTCGAGAAAATCTGTAGCTAAATTATAATTTAAACAAGGTTGAGAGATATCCTCATTCAGAATGATTTAGTCTTAATTGCTAATACAACAGAACCCTGGTGCTCAATGAAAAAGTTTCATCACATCCTGAAACACAATTTAACTGCTCTGCCCAGGTATGAGAAAAGCTGTCACGCCGCTGAGACTTCGAGAGAGAAAAACGTCTTCTGCATTATTAGACAGGCAATACCATCATGCGTCTTCTTGTGTCAAGCACTATCTCTGCTGTGAGGAAGTTACAGAAGAAAATCCGCACTCTGTATTCCGGTGTTGCATTTGTGAAAATGTATGCAAAAAAGGTTTCTTTTTTGGACAGTCTTTTTCCCCATCAGAGCCACTTTTCTTCAGGGATAATCCACTGAGGGCTACATTCCATCAGTGGGCAGGACCAAAGACAGCGGTGGGTGGAGCCACATCCAAAAGTGGGTGGGGTCTCTCTCTCTCTCTCTCTCTCTCTCTCTCTCATCCCCTTCTCACACACATTATTTCTCTTACACCCATTCCCTTTTCTTTCACTCTTCCTCCCCACCCAGCAAACTGCCAAAAGTGAATTGCTCTCGCCAGAAGTCCGAACTGGTTGCTTGTGGAGAGCTTTGGAAATTACGCTGAGGGCCACAGGCTGCCCATGCCTGCTTGTTCCTTTCTTAATCACTGATTGTTTGGGGAAAAGAGGGCATTCTATATATTTTTCCTGACTACAGCAGCAGGAGCAAGAAGGGTTCTAAATCAGGCATAGGCAAACTTGACCCTCCAGATGTTTTGGGACTACAACTCCCATCATCCCTGACCACTGGTCCCATTAGCTAGGGATGGTGGGAGTTGTAGTCCCAAAACATCTGGAGGGCCGAGTTTGCCTATGCCTGCTCTAAATCATACAGAGGGCAAGGGAGCTGCGGATGCAGTGAAGGCTCCTGCCAATCCATCCATCCATCTCTTCCAATCCATTGAGTGTGACGAGGCTAGGCAAAGAGGAAGTGTTAAGGGGGTGCAGCCACCAAACAGAGGCCCACTCTCTCTGGGGTTTCTCATCCAGAGGTAGGGAGCATTTTTCAGCCTGAGAGCCAGACTTGGTTCTGAGAAACCCCTCCAGGGGTCACGTGTCAATGGTGGGCAGGAGCAGAGGCAAAAGTGGGAGCAACTGTTAACGTAGATGTTGCTTTCATACAGCAGGCTAGCTTCTACACAGCCTCCTCCATCCAGGCAAGTGATAGCAGGACTTGGGGTGAACTAATTCAGATTAATGAATTCACTGAATTAATTCAAAAATCTCTGAATCACACCTGGAAATAGTTCCTAGAAATTCTAGGTGAACAGAATTGGGGGGGGGGTATGGCAGAACTTTGGGGAAATTTTAATTCAGTTCAATTTATGTTTTTATTCCACCATACATACACACACAAACACATGGTTTTCATCAAACTTAACTGTGTTTGATAGTGGCCACTGCAGTCACCATATTTAGCTTTTTGAAAAAAATATGATGCTTTTTAATAATCATAACTCTTTTGGAGAAATAAAGAAAGCAATTGTTCACATTCCACTGTGGAGCGGGGTTAGCAGACCAGCTTGTAAAATCCCTGAAGGCTGAGGGCATTTGGAATGCTGAGGACCAAATTCAACTGGAATGGAATTATTTTCCCTTTTTTTTTTGGAGGGGGTGAACTGGGACTAATTCCTTTTTAAGATGAACTTCCCAAGCACTGAGCAAGAGTCTTTAGCAGAGTTCAATAACACATTCCAGCCCGGAACAGCCATTTAATGAGTGCATGAAGCACAGCTAGTGAGTTGGGAAGAGCCCCAGGGTCCAAACAAAAGTCCTGGAGGGCCCCATTTGGCCCCATGTCCTGAGACTCTCCACCCCTGCAATAACTGCTTGAGGACAGTAATGAGTTCGAGTGATGCTCCACCAATCTCAGTCCCCAGCTCCCACCTTCCTGCTTTCTTATTTATAAACAGCAGAGGGCTGCCTCTCCCTTAATCTCAGTGATCCCCTTGCAGAACTCAGCGGGGAGGAGGATGGCATGGGTAGGCAAACTAAGACATGGGGGCCAGATCCGGCCCAATCACGGCCCGCGGATTTTTACATGAGTAGAACATGTGCTTTTATTTAAAATGCACCTCTGGGTTATTTGTGTGGCATAGGAATTCATTCCTGCTTCTTGGGAGAAAAGCAATGACAAACCTAGACAGCATCTTCAAAAGTAGAGACATCGCCTTGCCAACAAAGGTCCGTATAGTAAAAGCTATGGTTTTCCCAGTAGTGATGTATGGAAGTGAAAGCTGGACCACAAAGAAGGCTGATCACCGAAGAATGAATGCTTTTGAATTATGGTGCTGGAGGAGACTCTTGAGAGTCCCATGGACTGCATGAAGATCAAACCTCTCCATTCTTAAGGAAATCAGCCCTGAGTGCTCACTGCAAGGACAGATCGTGAAGCTGAGGCTCCAATACTTTGGCCACCTCATGAGAAGAGAAGACTCCCTGGAAAAGACCCTGATGTTGGGAAAGATGGAGGGCACAAGGAGAAGGGGACGACAGAGGACGAGATGGTGGGACAGTGTTCTCAAAGCTACCAGCATGAGTCTGACCAAACTGCAGGAGGCAGTGGAAGACAGGAGTGCCTGGCGTGCTCTGGTCCATGGGGTCACGAAGAGTCGGACACGACTAAACGACTAAACAACCAAGGAATTCATTCATCTTCTTTCTTTTTCAAAATATAGTCCCACCCCCCACAAGGTCTGAGGGACAGTGGACCGGCCCCCTGTTGAAAAAGTTTGCTGACCCCTGGAGGATGGGCTCTGCCTGTCATTGGCTCTGGCACCACCTACTGTTGGTCTTCCTGCCTTTCCCCCCTGCCAGTCCCAAAGGGCACCACCAGCCACTTCTTGAGGTTTGAACCCAGATATGGCTAAAGTGGTCATCTTCCCAGTGGCTCCTCCAGCTGCTGTGAGTCATCATCAAGGACACTACGAACGTGAATGTAGTCAAGTAGAACTACATTCTAGTTCCAGTGTGATAGGTTGTTAGCCAAGGCTGTTACGTTTCTGCTGACAGCTTGCATTTGGTTGCAAAGTCTTGTTTTTAAATTGGATTTGATACCATTGTGTTTCCTTCAGTTGCAATTATATATATTAATTATTCGTGGCCTAGGGCTGAAGGAGAGAAACAGAAGCAGAAACTAGAGAGTTTAATCAACTGGTTAACGCTAATGGGATTACAGCAGAATCCTATGTGAGTTTGCTTAAAAGTAAGTCATGGGGAACTAGGTAGCTGCCTCATACTGAGACTGACACCATTGCTCCAGCTAGCTCAGTACTACCGACACTGGCTGGCAGCAGCTCACCAGGATTTCAGACAGGAGGCTCTCCCAACCTTCCCTGGATATACCAAGGACTGAACCTGGGACTTTCTGCACAGAAAGTAAAAACTTATTAGGGCATTGTAGCCTTTCCCTACTGTGTACATCTCAGTATGTTCAATGGGGCTTACTCCCAAGAAAGCACACGTAAGGTTGTGGCCCAAACCAACTAAATCTGGATACATTTTGACACCTGGGTGGGAGGGTGTGATTCAGTTGAAAATGCATACTCTTTGTTTATATTATCACAGAGCTGAAGGAGGTCTTGGAAGTCATCTAGTTAAGCCCATGATTGATGAAGGGAACATCTGCACTGGTTGCCCATTGACTGCTGAGTCCTTGTATTAATTTGCACAGTGCTTAACAACATAGGTCCAGGGTACCTTAAAAAGCACCTCAACTCTCCTGTCCCACCTTGATCACCGAGATCATCTGCAGGAGCATTCTTGGTCATCCCCAAAGATGGTGAGACTCATTTGACATACACACAAATCCGAGCCTTGAGTGTCACCTACCAGTCCTTTCAAATGCTCTGCCAACAGGGATTCAGCAAGCATGTTCTATCTTAACCTTTAAACTACTGTATGTGCTAAAACAAACAAACAAACAAACACTATGCTCCCAGGTTAATGCAGGCAATTAAGAAAGCAACACCTGTAACAGTTAGCTAGTGATCTGTGATTCAACATTTTTACATGTCTTTTATTGTATATATAGACTGACAATTGGGGCACGGGTGGCACTGTGGTCTAAACTACTGAGCCTTGGGCTTGCCGATCAGAGAGGTTGGCCATTCGAATCCCCGCAACGGAGTGAGCTCCTGTTGCTCAGTCCCAGCTCCTGCCAACCTAGCAGTTCGAAAGCACACCAAAAAGTGCAAGTAGATTAATAGATACCACTCCGGTGGGAAGGTAAACAGCATTTCTGTGCACTTCTCTGGCTTTGGTGTTCCGTTGCACCAGAAGCGGCTTAGTCACACTGGCCACATGACCTGGAAAAACTCTGTGGAGCAGACAAATGCTGGCTCCCTTGGCCTGTAAAGCGAGATGATCGCCGCAACCCCAGAGTTGTTCACTACTGGACTTAACTGTCAGGGGTCCCTTTACCTTTACCTTTATAGATAAGACAAACATGCAGATGATAGATAGATAGAGATAGATAGATGATAGATAGATAGAGAGATAGATAGATAGATAGATAGACAGATAGATAGATAGAGATAGATAGATGATAGATAGAGATGATAGATGATAGATAGATGATAGATAGATAGATGATAGATAGATAGATAGATAGATAGATAGATGATAGATAGATAGATATGACAGATAGATAGATAGATAGATAGATAGATAGATAGAGATAGATAGATAGACAGATAGATAGATAGATAGAGATAGATAGATGATAGATAGAGATGATAGATGATAGATAGATAGATGATAGATAGATAGATAGATAGATGATAGATAGATAGATAGATAGATAGATAGATAGATAGATAGATATGACAGATAGATAGATAGATGATAGATATAGATGATAGATAGATGATAGATAGATAGATAGATGATAGATAGATGATAGACAGATAGATGATAGATAGATTTGGAGGTATTGGGTGTAAGGGGAGGGATAATACCTCTGTTGGGGGACACAGTATGCTCCTTTGGGGGTAGCTTATCCACCATTGGTCCCCACCCTGCACTGCCCTCTCAACTCACACATTCCTAGAAAATGTCAGCATGCAACAGTGGCCACCCCCAGGAAACAACTTTGACTGGCCAGCTAAACCAGATGAGGGAAGCCAATGGGTCTCAAACCCTCGGTGAGTTAGGGACTTCCCCTGCAGGTGAATTGAGCAGACCAGACCAATACTGGGTCCAACGGTCAAGAAGGCAGTTTCTGCACATGCTCTAAAGGGAAGTGAGGGGCAGATGAGAACCTGGGAAAGTAGCCCATTTAGGAGATGGAAAGACCTGGTCCTAAACCTCTGCTGCCTTGCAGGATATCATCAGGAGAAGAAAAGGCTCAGGAGTAAATGGAGTAATCTCTACACAAATCTGGAATGGAGTCCCTAAGACGACTGGATGGCACCTTGTAAGCCTCCTTCTGGCAACTCCTGCAGCCATGCTCTACTTTCCCTTGGACCACATCAGCCAAGCCAAGAAGGGGGTCTTGTTCTCTGGTCAGTCCAGGACCTCCAGACACTGCCCAGACCTGCGTCCCAAGGAGGTCACTTCAGTGCTGATAACACAACGGTTTGACTTCCCCCTCGGAGGCACGCTACATTGTCTCTCAAGACAGACGAATGCCAGCGACAGACCCGCTTTCATCTTCTTTACGAAATAATGGTACAGAGGTATTTTTAGAAAAGAAGGAAGGAAGTGCTCCAAAAGTTCATCCAAAACCTGGCCTCCAGTACCTTCAGCACTTTAGATCTGAACCTTCCCGCTGGGGCTGCAGAGAACAAATCTTTGCCCTCCTTTACGTGGCAGCCCTCCAGATATTTGTAAAGTGCAGAAATTACCTAGCTAGACACTCTTCTGCACGGCACAGCAAAACTACAGGCCATAATCATCCCAAAAAGCTGAGGCCCAGGTTTTCCCCATCCAGTTAAGCAGGTGAGCTATGTCTTACCGGAGCGGGGTGAAATTGCAACAGTGGAAGCGGCAGCTTCAGATGGCAGTATAAAATAGAAATGCAGATTGTTCCGCCTCGGATTTATTACACTTTTAACATCTAAATCAGGAGGATTCTGTCCTATAGATTGAGACGGATCTGAAGTAATTTAATGGGAAGTTGGTCGTTGAAACACATAATCACATTTCTAGAACAATGTAATTACATTGAGTGTAATGTGATTTCCTGCCAGCGAGTTTTAAAAAGTGCGGCATCCACCATATCCTTTGCTCTTGCATCGAACATGACAACCCCAGCAAAATTAGCTCTAGGAAGCCCAATGCAGCATTCAATTAAAGAAAGAGACATTAGGACTTCGGGAGAGGCAGGGTAAAATGGGCGACATATCAGAAAACGCGTCGGCTGTGTGCTGACAATGCAGCGGCATTCGCAACAAGAGAGGGAGCCAAGAAATTATGGCTGAGATATTTTATACATTTAAGGGTGATCAGTCAAGGGCTAGAATTAAGCCTTTGCACCAAAGGCATTGCTATGACCTTCAGTCATTCTGCATCAGGGGTAGGCAACCTAAGGCCCATGGGCCACAAGCAGCCCACGGAGGTCATTTAGCCGGCCCACGAGCCATTCCTGAACCGAGTCACCTGCTCAGCGAGTCCCCGCGCACTGCGCTAAACTAAAAAAAAAACTCCTTAATAAATTTTCCACTTTAACAATCCAATCAAACGATATTAAATATTCCAAATTGTACATATTATTGAATAATCAAACAGTCCAAATATTATGCCAAATTATTTTTAAAAATTGAAGGTATCTTCCCATGTTCTGAGGTTGGGGGGCTCTGATCATCTCATACTTCTACTGCTTTCATAATTTTCACGATAGTTCCCGTAAATCATTCTGATGTTAATCCTCATTACTTTTCACAGCCTCTGTGTTTATCAAACTGGCGCAGCACGGCATGACTCGCTTCCGTGGTGCCAGGAATCACGTCTGCGCATGCTCAGATGCCGAAAATTACATCTGCGTAGATGCAGACGCCAGAAATTGCGGCTGCGCACACTCATGCGCTCACGTGATCCAGCCCACGGAGGGATCTCCGCTGGAGTGAACCGGCCCAGGCGAGGTAAATCTTGCTGACTCCTGTTCTGCATGGTGCAAACAAAGCGTTATCTCCAATCAACTGAGTGCAAAGAAAATGCTATCTTCTACCATTACTCAGCAAGATTAAAACAAACTCCCTCTGGCAGCAGCAAAGCAAAATCCCACAATTTAGAAATCAATATAATTAAAACCCTTCTGACCCAACAGAAAACCTTGAAAATGATTCCCAACAGCCATCAAAATCTGAGATTTAGGAGGTCACCAGGAAAGAAAAGTAAACCTGAAAGGAGGATCCTATGAAGAAGATTATGCCCCATCTGTAGGTTAAGAACATGTAAGGAGTCTCTCTCTATCAAACCAAAGGACCACCCATTCAAGCATTCTGTTTCCCACAGTGGTTAACCAAATGCCTAGAGGAGCCCACAAACAGTACACAAGCACAAAGACTCTCCCTTGCTGTTGCTTTCCAGTGACTGGCATTCAGAGCTGCTTCAGAGCTATAACTTCCAAAGTGGTTCATCAATCACCCTTCCCAGAGATCTCTGGAAAATTTAGCTCTGAGGGAAACAGGGGTCTCCTTACCAGGGCTTTTTTCAGCAGGAACTTGCCAGAACTCAGTTCTGGCACCTCTCAGGTGGGCGCCATTGCCATTACAGGGGAACAAGGGAAGCATTCATGGCGAGTTCCAGCACCTCCATTTCTAGAAAAACAGTGCTGATCCCAACAACTCCAGCACCCTTAACAAACTAAAGCTCCCAGGATTCTTCAGGGGGACAGCCATGACTGCGTAAATTGGGATGATACATGTTATGTACTGAAGTTCTCACCCTGGGCCAGCAGAGGGATACTGTAGATAGTTCAGGTCCACATATGCAAATAAGGGATTGAAAGTGACGTTCAGTGATTGGATAGTTACAGGAAGTTGTTACAGTTACGTTGTACCGGAGCTCTATATAAGCAGGCTGGCTGAACCCTTCAGTTCAGTTCTGTTCTGGCCTCTGAATAAACAAGAGCTGTTTAGAGAATCGCTGTGTCGTCTGATATGTTTACCCACAACTTAACATACAGATTTAAATATATATTGCGGATGTCGCCTGAAAGAGGAGGAGCTTGTGAATGGAAGGAGATGGAGAGGATAGGCCCAAAGGGTATTCCTGATCTCCCAGGCTCTGTCAGGCAATGAGGCAGCAGTTGAGTCGGCACTGCCTTTTTTATTCATTTTAATTGGAATAGAGCTGTAATCGGCTTTCTGAATAATTTCAGTGTCTCATGAAGCTAAGCATGTCAGAAACTTAAAGCGGTTTTGCAGGTAATCCGCCTGCAGAACAAACCCACCAAATTCATCTGTCAAATCATTCCCCTGCCTATGAGTTCATTCATATCTCCTGCAGAATGCAAGAGGTCTCAGGCGGCACATATCACTATGCTTTCGTTAGAAGGCAGAAAGTGATGAGGTGAGATGGGGCAGCGAAATAGAGTCAAGCCAGGTGTCCCCCATCTTATATTTGTGCATCTGGTTCTTCCGGCCTAAGTGTAGAACCTTACAATTGTCCCTATTGAAATTCATATTGTTAGTCTGGTCCCAGTTCTCCAATCTGTCAAGATAATCTTGAGTCTCAATTCTGTCTTCTGCGGCATTAGCTACCCCTCGCAGTTCGGTATCACCTGCAAATTGGATGAACATCCCCTCAATTCCTTCATCCAAAATGTTTATAAAACCCTTGAACAACAACAGGCCCAGAAGACAACCCTGCGACACACACACCCCGCTTGTCCCCTTTCCCCACAATGATGAGGAAATAAATAAATAAATATTATTATTATTATTATTATTATTATTATTATTATTATTATTTTATTATTATTATTTTATTATTTGTACCCTGCCCATCTGACTGAGTTGCCCCAGCCACTCTGGGTGGTTCTTTAGTAAGCACTTTTTGGGTTTGGTCAGTAAACCAGAGACAAATTCACCCAAGAGTTACCTCGTTCAACCCACATTTTATCAGCTTCTCTGCAAGAATATAATGGGGGACTTTGTCAAAAGCCTTACTGAAATCAAGATACACTACATCCACAGCATTCCTCTGATTCACCAAGCTTGTAACTCTATTTTTTAAAAAATCAGATTTGTCTGGAATGATTTGTTTTTTTAGAAATCCATGCTGGGCGTTAGTAATCACATCATCCTTTCCCAAGTGCTCATAAACTGACCATTTAATTATCGACATCAAGCTGGCAGGTCAGTAGTTACCTGGGTCTTCTTTTTCCCCCCTTTTGAAGATGGGGACCATATTGGAGGTGCCAGGGATTGGACCTGGGACCTTCGGCACACAAAACAAGTCCACAGAGCTATGGCCCTTCCCAGCCCACTTCTAAGCAACTTCTCAAAGAGGCAGGAGTCTTGCTCACCTCCATTGCACCTGGTCATCCCAGGAATCTTCCCCTCTGCCAGTCCAGACCTGAAAAACCCTCTCTCTCTCTCTCTCTCTGATACATCATTAATCACAACTTGGTAATCAGAAGCTGCAGAGTTAGAACAAAAGAGGTGTCATCCGTCAAACGGAAGGCATCAGATATTTTGATCTGGGATCATTCCTCCTGATACACAACAACTGACGTTTCGGTGAGTGAGGGCTCTGCAAGAGCATGGCAGTGGTGAATCGCTGTGTCGTGTTAGAGAAGCAGTGAATGGGCCAGTGCCAATAAGGCAAAGGTGGAATAGTCTGGGGGCCACATTCTCTTCTAGGCTCGGTTTCAGAGGCCACAGTCTGGATTGGGCAGGACCAGAGGCAAAAGGGGCAGAGCAGCAAATATGAATTTTACACCTTTGTACAGTAGGCTGGTTTCCACACATACAGACACTATTCTGCATCCAGCCACTCAAGAGGCATTTCAACTAAGTTTTACTCAAGAGTATCATAGCTTCCAAGTGGACCGGAAAAAACAAGACATCCCCTTTTTCCGCACAGGATCTTGTGCACAGCCTTGCCCTAGCCAGAAGCATTTATTGCGTGGGAATGCATCAGTGTGCAACAGTCAGAACTCACTTATGCACACAGCTTTTACCTGAAGCCCAGGTTAAAGCACTGCTTCCCATATTTCTGTCAATGCAACTCTTTTACAGGAAGACGCCAACTCCCCCACCCAAAAAGGACTATTGTGATTTGCTCTCTGTGCTCCTATTATTCAGCTGCAAGAATTCCTCTTAAACCAAGAGCAGTGTGGAAGTGGAGGGGAGGAAATCACCTCAATAGAATATTTACAATGTGAACAGAAAAGCACAGTGGGAGGAATCAGTTTAAATGGTCCTCCAGTCAACTGCTTGTTAACTCACTTTAGAAACTGTGTGTGTGTGTGTGTGTGTGTGTGTGTGTGTGTGTACAGACACATACATGCATACGTGCACACACACTTGTTAACCTGCTGCTAAAAAAGTGCTCAGAGCCCTGTTGGATGCCACACTTTTGGCAAGTCCACACAATGTAATAAGTGAACAAGCTGCATGTAAAATGTTGGAAGGCCACCTTGATGGAATGCACAACAGAGACAAGCTGCCTTGGTGCACCTTGCTGGGAAGGTTGAAACTTCACCTTCAAATCAGATTACTCCCAACCAAGGCAGATTGCATCATCAGGTGGGAGTAAATGGAAAACAACAATGCAAGTTCTGGGTTTCATCTTTATTTCATTATTCCTGCCCTCCCAGGGACAACAACATCCTGACAAGGGGGAAAGCCAACCTGGCCGCACAACTCCATCTGCTCCAGCGCTTGCTTTCCTCTACCCTCACCTTTCCATTTTTCCTTTTGCAATGTGCTTATGAGATTTCAAACCTGCAAGCAGGGTCTGTCTTATATTTGAATATCTGCCCAGTGCTTAAAATTTAGGTGCTTTGTAGGTGGTGAGTAATAAATACTATTAATTTTAAGCTCACATGCCACTGCATCAGAAACATCTTTAACACTGCAGTTGTGTTTAGGATGGCAGCATGGAGACCTCTAGATGTTCTTTAGAAACAATTAGGGTACCTCCTCCCCCATCTCGCATACAAACACACACAAAATCCAAGCCTGTACAACAAGGAACACTTTACACATAACCTCAGCTCCCAAATGATTACACATTATCTTCGATTGATTTCCTTAGGCACGCCGCAGTGTTTAGCTCCTGGTCTCTAAGTCACTGGCTGCCATCTCTTATCTCAGAGCTCTATTGTTAAGCTAAACTAATCTATGCCTCCAAGCTCTTAAAGAAGTTTTATCTCAGCTCTCCTAAATGCAAGAGATGGCTTACAGCGTTGTTCAATATAACCATCTGCTTTCCACTTCTCTTTCCTGCACCACAGGTGCGCCTTGGAGCTGTCTTTGGACCTGTCACATTGACAGCAAGCCTGACTTTTTCTCCCGTTCGAGGCCTGAGCCCATGACACAGACGCTACCATAGGCTGGGCTTGACCAACCAGGATAGCATCGCCCAACCTGGTGGATTTGACCTCTGTCCTATTTTGCACTTTACGGTAAGGAGTTATGCATGGCCACCTTCTAAAGAGACAGAAGAACTGACCAACAACAGGAAAGAACCATCTAGGGACCTGCTAGAACATTTGAGTCATAGACAGCACATGTGAAAGATTTCAGAGGGGTAGACATGCAAGAGACACTTTCTTTACCTAGACTTTTTATTCTATCCCACCTTTTTCCCCAGACCAGGACAGAAAAGCAGATTACAGAAATTAAAACAACACAGATAAATGTGTTGGAAAATATAGAAAAGATAACCATTAAAAAGTCTAATAGATTCAAAACAATAAAGACAGCAAATCTGTTTCAAAATCAGATAATAAGAAAAATTACTGCGCTATTAAAGCCCTTTCCTGGGTGGTGGTGGGGGAACAGTCAGTTCCCAAAGGTCTGTAAGAATAAAACAAGTCTTCACCTGCCAGGGGAAGGACAACAAGGAGGGAGCCAGTCTAACCTCTCTAAGAAGGGATTTCCCAAGTCTGGGAGCAGCCACCAAGAAGACCCTTTCCTGCATCCCCACCTGAGAGGGTAGCAGGACTGAGAGAAGGGCCTCTCCCAAGGATTTCAGAGCCTAGCCAGGTTCATACAGGAGAATATGGTCTTTCAGAAAACCTGGGTCTAAGGCCCTCCCTAAGGAAAAAGGGAAGAGGTAGGGACAGGGCCGGATTTAGGTTTGATGAAGCCCTAAGCTACTGAAGGTAACGGGGCCCTTTATATGTCCAGCTGTCCTTTGTCAACAACAAATTGTTGCTGTTTTTTGAGTTGAATATATGCTATATGGTAATTTATGGACCTAATAGGTATCTAAAGCCATTTGCACATGCAGAATCTAGGCACCCTATATAGAGAAATGAGCAAACCAGTGATATTTTAGGGAGCAGGCTAGCATTACTTACATCATAGGAGCCTACACAACACAAAACACTGTTGCTGTGTGTAGGTTTTATTTTATTTGTTTTTTATCTTATATTTTGGAATATAAGATTATAAGTTTATTTTTCCTTTAAAAAAAATTTGGGCCCCCAAGAGAGTGAGGCACTAAGCTATAGCTTGTTTAGCTTATACGTAAATCCGGCACTGGGTGGGGAGACAAACAGCAGTAGAAAAAGGAACAAAGAGGTTTGCTTGGGATGCATGTGTGAATTCTCTAGGACTGCGCCAGTGCTCCTATAGGCTATGAGCTAGAGAGTGTCTGATTAATTGATTTGATTTATTATATTGCTATACACTTTTCATTCAAATGAATCCCAAAGCATAGAACATAACAGGACATCGCAAATACTGCTAGGTATGCTTGCACAGGATTGTAGCTTGAGCAGCTTTACCATCAACGACCCTTAATTAGCTATCTAAGAACTCATCCAAAACAAAAGTCTCTTTGACTGCGGCGAGGTTTCTTTGGGCATGTCATCCCCATGCTGACAATAGTCTTGCTAACCTCAATTTATCAAGAAGCTTCAAAAGCTTCACGTTATTGTGACATCATCTTATTTTAAAAAAAACTATAGCTTTCTAACGAGGTTGAGTCACCATTATCGAACTCCCGTTTCCTGACAGTAAATAGCTGTGTGTCATCTAAATGACTTCAAAAGGAGGAGGCCTAAATATTCACCCAGATACATTTGCCTCCAGAAATGAATTTGGTGACTTTTTAAATGTCTTGTCTATATATTTTTGTATTTTCTAGGTAAGCCACTTAGATGCATTTTTTTTATGGAACAGGGCATTAGTACTTTGAAAGAAAAGAATTAAAACTCTTGACTCTTTTGGCCACTCACAGAACCGCATAAATCTGGTAGAAAAGATGGAAATTCAATAAAGTGGAGCATATCATTGCAATCTTACTGCTCAGTTATGCTGCAAGATCAAACTGACTTTGCTACATTTCTCAACTTTATGCAGCCCTAAAGTTCAGCCTAGGGAAAGAGCACGCCAGTAAGTCAGTTCTTTTTGTTGCATTAAGGCAGCTGTCTAGTTCAGCCTGATCCCCACCAGGTGTGGGGGGCATTTCCCATCAGCCCCAGCCAATCATCATCATCATCATCATCATCATCTGTATACCCTGCCTTTTTCCTGACAGGGACTCAAGGCAACTTACAGAAAAAAATAAGAACAGCTAAACCACTTAAAAATATAGAGAGAGAAAACAATCATTCAATTATTATTATTATTATTATTATTATTATTATTATTATTATTTATTTATTTAGTTTCCCCAGCCACTCTGGGCGGCTCCCAATCAAATGTTAAAAACAGTACAGCTTTAAATATTAAAAACTTCCCTGAACAGGGCTGCCTTCAGATGTCTTTTAAAGATAGGATAGCTGCTTATTTCCTTCACATCTGAAGGGAGGGCGTTCCACAATTAAACACTGACAGAAATAAAACTTGTGTGTGTGTGTAATAACTCTGGGTGGCTTCCAACAAAATATTAAAATACAATAACTGTGATGGGATGATGAGCTGCTTGTGCGTAAAATAGTATCCCCTCAGAGTTTGTTCAAGTTCACAAACCTCTGTCTGTGACGGAGCCCCTCAGACATGGCTCCTCTAGTCACTAGCAGATTCCGACAGTGGTTGCTTCGGAATCGCTTCCAACATAAAAGCTCCTTAACGGAAACACGTCTTCTGGACTCTCTGCGTGACAGTTTCCGGCGAGGAGTGGGTGTTCCTACAGGAGGTCCTGAAACCTCCCCACTGTTTTCGCTGGAAGTGTCTCTGAGCCATCCCTCCAGCTCACTTTCCCTCAGCTCAGCTCCTCTCCCCTACTGGTTCCCTCTTCAGCTGCTGAGTCTCTCCCAACCTGTGTGAGCCCTTTCACCTCCCTTCCTTCCGATGGCAGTTCCCTGACATCCACCTCCCCTCCAGGGCCCCTTTCACCCCCTCTCGCCCCCTCCTCTACGGGCGGTGAGGAGGCAAAACCCCGGAATGAACTTCCTTCATCTTCCGATGTCTCGAACACTTCTCTCCACCTGTTGCGGTTCCTGGTCTCGAAGTACTCCTCCTCCTCAGAGTCCATCTCCCTTTCCGAGTCCGGGAATCCTTCCAACTCCTCCTCCTCATCAGTGGTCCCAAAGTATTCCCTCCGGAACCTCTCCACAGGCTGAGGTTTCCTTGGGAACCTTTGATGGAACGTTTCTACCAATACCTCGTCATTGATATCTTCGGCCATTACCCAAGTGTTTTCTGACTCCGGTTCTCCTTCCCACGCTACCAAATACTCCACCTGATCCCCCTTCCACCTGGCGTCGAGGATTTCTGCCACATGGCTGCTGCATTCTCTTTCTTCTATGACTGGTCCCCGAGTGGCCATCCCTTCTCGTCCCCCTTCGTACGGTGACAGTAACGACCTGTGAAATACTGGGTGCAGTTTCATGTGGTTGGGTAACCGGAGCCTGAAAGCCACTGGGTTGACCTGTTGAATGACCTCAAAGGGACCCAACCTCCTGGGTCTTAATTTCTTACAACCTCCTTTGAACGGCAACCCTTGGGTTGACAGCCACACCCTATCTCCCACCCTTATGGTTTCACCTTCCCTTCGGTTCTTGTCTGCCTGCCTCTTGTATTCTTCCTTCGCCCTTTCTAAGTTGAGTTGGAGCTGACGATGGATTGCTTCCATTTCTTCCACAAAATGCTCGGCTGCCGGGACGCTCCATCTCTCCCCATCTCCCCTGGGAAAGCCCTGGGATGACACCCATAATTAGCCAAGAAGGGGCTCATCCCTGTGGACACATTCTCGGCATTGTTGTAGGCAAATTCCGCCAGCGCCAACTTTTCTACCCAGTCATTCTCTCTGTCATTGACATAACACCTCAGGTATTGCTGGAGGACACCGTTTGCTCTTTCCGCCTGCCCGTTGGTTTCAGGGTGCCGGGCAGTCGAAAAATTGACCTCCACCTGCAGTAAGCTCATGAGCTTCCTCCAGAACCTGGAAGTAAATTGTTTTCCTCGGTCTGAGACCACCCTCAATGGCACCCCGTGCCACCTAAAAATGTGTTCTACAAATAACTTCGCTGTCTCTTCCGCCGTGACTGCATGCGAGCAAGCTACAAAGTGGCACATCTTTGTTAGTAGGTCTACCACCACCATGATGGCTGTTTTCCCTTTGGACTTCGGCAGATCAGTCATAAAATCTATCGACACTGCCTCCCAAGGTCGTTCTGGGGTTGGTAAGGGTTCTAATAGCCCCGCCGGCGCCCGCCTTTCCCCTTTGGCTCGCTGGCATTGCTCGCACCCTCTTACATACTCACGTACATCTTCCCTCACCTTAGGCCACCAAAATTCCCTGGTGACCAACCACATGGTTTTGTGTTGTCCAAAATGCCCCGCCGTAGGGCTGTCGTGCCACTGCTTGAGTACCCTCCCCTTAAGTCTCCTTCAGGGATATACAGTGCCCCTTTGTAATACAAAGCTCCATTTCTTTCCTCGAAACCCCCTGGTTCCTCTCCCTCACCCCTAAGACCTCTGAGCTTATTCTGGGCGTATTCATCATTCTCTGTTTCCTCTACCAGTTCTCTTTGTCCCACCAATGCCGCCCCACACACCCAGCGGTCCTCTGGAATGACATGTCTCTCTTCGGGTGCTCCCTCCCCTCCAAATATTCAGGTTTGCGTGAGAGAGCGTCCGCCCTAATGTTCTCTGGGCCTGGCACGTAACCAATCTCAAAGTTAAATTTGGAGAACTCCTGGGCCCATCTCACTTGCCGTTGGTTGAGCACTCGTGCCGTCCTCCAATACTCTAGGTTCTTGTGGTCAGTGCACACTTGCACCTTATGTTGTGCGCCAATTAGCAGGTGCCTCCATCTCCGGAACGCCTCATGAATGGCTAGTAGTTCTCGGTCATACACCGTGTAGTTCCTCTCGGATTTGTTCAGCTTTCGCGAAAAAAAAGCACACGGTCTCCACTCTGACTCCTCCTTCCCTGGCTGCAGAAGCACCGCCCCAATCGCTCTGTCTGATGCATCAGTTTCCACTCTCATCGGTTTTTGTAAATCCACATGCAGGAGTTGTTGTTCCGAGGCGAAGGCCCTTTTTAGTTCCTCAAATGCTCGCTCCGCCTCCTCAGTCCAAACGAACTTCTTCTTACTGCTGAGACAGTTCGTAATGGGCGCCGTCAGGTGGGCAAAGTTTCGGATGAACTTACGATAGAAGTTCCCAAATCCTAGGAACCTCTGCACATCCTTCCTTGTTTTGGGTGTTTTCCATTCCAGCACCGCCTGGACCTTGCCGGGATCCATGGCCAATCCCTTGTCTGACAGGCGATACCCCAGGAATTCCACCTCCTTGGTATGAAACTGACACTTCTCCAGTTTCACCCACAGCTGGTTGGCTTGCAGCCTGCTCAACACTTCTCTGACGTCTCTCACATGCTGCTCCTCATTCTCAGAATACACCAACACGTCGTCTAAGAAGGCCACACAATTCTTGTAAAGCAAAGGCCCCAGGACGTGGTTCATAAACGATTGAACGCATGCGGAGCCTGCTTGTAGGCCGAAGGGCATAACCAAATATTCAAATGCCCCTAAAGGGGTGAACATGGTGGTTTTCCATTCATCCCCCTTCCTTATTCGTATCAGGTTGTACGCCCCCCTTAGGTCCAGCTTTGTGAAAATCTTTCCCTTCCGCACCCTTGTCAAAATGTCGTCAATCCTGGGCATAGGGAAGGCCACTGGTTCTGACACTGCATTTAAGGCCCTGAAGTCACACACCAGCCTCGGCTTGTTCGTGTTTTTATCCACAAAAACACTGGGCTGCCCCCACCGCCCTGGACTCTCTGATGAACCCTCTCTTCAGGTTCTTGTCAATGAACTCTCTTAGCTCCTGCATCTCTCTGTCTGACATGGCGTACAGCTTGCCTACAGGGAGCTGTGCCCCAGGGAGTAAATTGATTTGACAGTCAAAGGGTCTATGCGGGGGTAGTTGGTCAGCTTCCCTTTCGCTGAATACGTCGCGGAGATCTGCGTATTGTCGTGGTACCTTCACGTTCTCCGTTACTTCAGTCCCTGCTAGGGTGGCTTGGGCCCCTGCCAAACCCTTTCCCTCTTTGCAGTGTTCTAAGCAATGTGCTGAACCAAAAGAAACCACTCTCTGATGCCAGCCCACCAGCGGATCATGTAACGCTAGCCAGCTCATCCCCAATATAATGGGAGCTCCTCCCAAGGTGGCCACATTAAACGCTATCAGTTCGGTGTGCCTTGCCACCTTCATTATCATTGGGACGGTCTGCAAGCTGACTTCTCCTCCCAACAGCTCCCTGCCATCGATCGTGGTCACCTGCAGGGGTTGCTTAAAGGGATCGTCTGTATCTGGTGTTCAGCTGCAAACTCTTTGCTCATGAAATTGCAGGAGCTGCCTGAGTCCAACAGCGCCTTTATCTTTAGAGGGTGTCCGTTTGGCAGCTCTAGCGTCACTTCTATCACTAGGGCGGGTTTAGGAGGTTCTGGCGTGGGCACTCTCACTGCTCTTTGGCCTGGCTGCTGTGCCCCGACGGTGGCAGCCAGGCGTTGGCTTTTACTTGCTCCGGTATTTCTTCCTCTCTTCCCTCCACAGCTCCTACCATCCCTTGCCATTCCTTCCTCTGGGGGCAGACTCTGGCAAAGTGACCTGGCTGTTGGCAGAGATAGCATTCCGGGCGCCTTTTCCCTCCTTCTTTCCCCCCTCACTGGGCTTTGAAACTGCGCGCGCGCGCTGTTCCGATTTCCATCGGCTCTGCCGGCGGGAAAGTTGGCTCTGGAATGTCTGGAATGCGGAACTCCTTCCAACGTTCCCCTTCCCTTCCCGCCTCTCCAATGCTCTCGCCTCCTGGCGCGCTCCTATGGTCAGCGCTGATTTGGTCAGCTGGTCCATAGACTCCGCCCTGGGCGCCCGGGAAAGTTCGTCTTTCACAGCCGAAGAAAGCCCTTCTTCAAAGAGCATTTGAATGGGTTCCGCCGATAAGTCCCACCCCAATCTGTGAACCAGCATGGTGAACTCAGTCCAGTACTCACGGACAGATCGGCTCCCCTGTTTGCAAGCCATTAACTGTCTGCGCACCACTCCCTGTTCAATATCGCTGGAAAACATCAGATCCATGGCGCGAAAGAACTTCATCGTGTCCTTTAGGACGTCACTATTCGCTGCCATCAGGGGTCTAACCCAGTCTCTTGCCCCCTTTTCAAGATGCCCAATCACGAAAGCCACTCGTGATTCCTCGTCAGGGAATTCATCAAACTGCAGATTGAGGGCATATTGCATCTCTGTCCGAAAGCCATGATAGTCTTTGGGCTCCCCCCCAAACTTCTGCACCAATCCTGGTACCTTTCTGGCGAGCTGGGTGGCTTTCCCTTTTGTCTGCATCCTGAGCCCTCCTCTCCTCCAAGCCTCGCCGTCTGCAGCGCTAGCTGGACCTCCAACACCCGGTACCTTTCTTCCAGGCTTGGACCCGCTCCAGCTCCTGCTTCTCCGGTTCCGGCTGGGTTGCTCATGATGCCTTCTCCTGCACAAGCTGCTTTCAAAGACTGTCGGAATGCTGTGATGGGATGATGAGCTGCTTGTGCGTAAAATAGTATCCCCTCAGAGTTTGTTCAAGTTCACAAACCTCTGTCTGTGACGGAGCCCCTCAGACATGGCTCCTCTAGTCACTAGCAGATTCCGACAGTGGTTGCTTTCGGAATCGCTTCCAACATAAAAGCTCCTTAACGGAAACACGTCTTCTGGACTCTCTGCGTGACAGTTTCCGGCGAGGAGTGGGTGTTCCTACAGGAGGTCCTGAAACCTCCCCACTGTTTTCGCTGGAAGTGTCTCTGAGCCATCCCTCCAGCTCACTTTCCCTCAGCTCAGCTCCTCTCCCCCTACTGGTTCCCTCTTCAGCTGCTGAGTCTCTCCCAACCTGTGTGAGCCCTTTCACCTCCCTTCCTTCCGATGGCAGTTCCCTGACAATAACCTATTAAATAGCTTCCCTAAACAGGGCTGCCTTCAGATGTCTTCTAAAAGTCTGGTAGTTGTTTTTCTCTGTGACATCTGCTGGAAGGACGTTCCACAGGGCAGGTGCCACTACCGAGAAGGTCCTCTGCCTGGTTCCCTGTAACTTGGTTTCTCGTAGTGAGGGAACTGCCAGAAGGCCCTCAATGCTGGACCTCAGTGTCCGGGCAGAACAATGGGGGTGGAGACGCTCCTTCAGGTATACTGGACCAAGGCTGTTTAGAGCTTTAAAGGTCAGCACCAACACTTTGAATTGCGCTTGGAAACGTACTGGGAGCCAGTGTAGGTCTTTCAAGACAGGCGTTATGTGGTCTCGGCGGCCGCTCCCAGTCACCAGTCTAGCTGCCGCATTCTGGATTAGTTGTAGTTTCCAGGTCACCTTCAAAGGTAGCCCCACATAGAGCACATTGCAGTAGTCCAAGCGAGAGATAACTAGAGCATGCACCACTCTGGCAAGACAGTCTACGGGCAGATAGGGAGCTGATAAACAGCTGCCCTGGATACAGAATTGACCTGCGCCTCCACGGACAGCTGTGATTCCAGAATGACTCCCAGGCTGTGCACCTGGTCCTTCAGGGGCACAGTTACCCCTTCAGGACCAGGGAGTCCTCCACACCTGCCCATACACACCCCCATACACCTGCACACACACACCCATAGCTACGGCACTGTAAATACAATCCAATGCATTTTCACTATTCCTGGCAAGCGCATCCAGGACTGCAGCCCGTAAGATTCATCCACTAATGAGAAAAGAGGAAGTAACAGCCAATCAGGGACATGTCGGTGAGATTTATAGTCTAAGGACCACGGCTGTGATGTTGTCAGCATCTCCCGGGGGGACAATGTCGACGTGGCATCCTTCCCCTCATACCTGGTGGTCTTAATGTATCATGGCATCCTTGAATTCTCAGCCCTCCATCAAGATAGCGAGAGACGTCTCCAGAGGGAGGTGGAAATATCTGCCGCATCTCCCTAGCCGCACACTATAGCAAGTTTCCATGACAGATTGTGTCCGTTGCTTAGTCTCGCCGGTCCAGTGTCAGTCATGCTCAATAAGAGCGTGGAAATTGGATTTGTCAACCGGTGATCCCTCAGTGATCAATAATTACCTGCAATTAAGCTCCAGTTTAAGTGCGGCGACAAGGAGGAGGAGGGCATGTCTGGCATGAGGAACGGAGAATGGAACAGATTCAACATGTGAGAGTCTTGTGCTTTTGAAAATAACTAGATTTGTAAATGGGGGATGGACAAAGCTGTGCCTCTCCCAGTCAAGAAACGACAAGAAGAAGTCAGCGTAGTGTAGTGGTCAGAGTACAGGACTAGGACCTGGGAGACCAGGGTTCAAATCCCCACTCAACCATGAAGCTCACTGGGTGACCTTGGGCCAGTCACTGCCTCTCAGCCAAAAGGGTAGCCAACAGCACAATCTTAAATATATTTAATCAGAAGCAAGTACAGTGGTACCTCGGGTTAAGTATTGAATTCGTTCCGGAGGTCCGTTCTTAACCTGAAACTGTTCTTAACCTGAAGCACCACTTTAGCTAATGGGGCCTCCTGCTGCTGCCGCACCGCCGGAGCACGATTTCTGTTCTCATACTGAAGCAAAGTTCTTAACCTGAAGCACTATTTCTGGGCTAGCGGACTCTGTAACCTGAAGCATATGTAGCCTGAAGCATATGTAACACGAGGTACCACTGAACTTAGGATTGTAGCTATACAGTGACAACTTATTCATATACAGTGGTGCCTCGCAAGACGAAATTAATCCGTTCCGCGAGTCTCTTCGTCTTGCGGTTTTTTCGTCTTGCGAAGCACGGCTATTAGCGGCTTAGCGGCTATTAACGGCTTAGCGGCTTAGCAGCTTTAAGAAAACGGAAACAAACTCGCAAGAACTCGCAAGACGTTTCGTCTTGCGAAGCAAGCCCATAGGGAAATTCGTCTTGTGGAACGACTCAAAAAACGGAAAACTCTTTCGTCTTGCGCGTTTTTCATCTTGCGAGGCATTCGTCTTGCGAGGTACCACTGTATACTCATAAGTAGGCCCCATGGAGTTAAATGGAGCTTACTCCTGGGTAGGGGTGAACAGATTTATTTTTAAGTCAATTTTGCATTCTGCCTTTTTTCCACACTCAGGGTGGTCTCCAACTAAGTGCTACTTAAAGTAGATCCATTGAAATTGATAAATCTATCTTAGTCATGCCCAGTGCTTTGTTTGTTGTAAAATGGGTCCTGGTACTCACTGTGAAGTTGTTACAGTATGTGCCACACTTTTAAACAACAAAAAAGAAGTGCTGAGTGCCCCTTGGAAGAAGAAGAAAACACTGGCCATGTCCACCACAGAGTAGACCCAGTGAAGTTAATGAATTTGCAGGGGGTGAACTAGATGACCCTCGTGGTCATCTAGTCCCTTCTAATTCCATGATTCTATGAATGCAGGCCCAATAATTTCAGTAGGTCTACTCTGAGTAAGACTAGCATGGGATACAACCCTAAGCTGCAATTTGCACTTAAGTATGATTTATTTTTATCAGAATATACACATTTAAATTTGACTATTTCATTTTTTCACACTTCTGTCCTAAAATGTGCACATTTTTTTCTAACACAAGCCTGGTTTATGCAAAGTTTGGAGGAGGGTGAAATCTGAAAAATTACATTCCGATATATGTAGCAGTCTAAGATATGTGAAACAGGGCCCATTAAATTCTGCACCACCCTCAGTCCCAACTGAATGAACGTTATTGCAGCCTGTCTGTCTTCTGCCCTATGCAAAACATTCAAACACTTATTCCACTCCCATATTCCACACACGCACCTCAGAAACGTTTGCTTTATTCTGTGGCAAAATCTGCTTTCCTCGTTGCACATTGTAAAACATAAAAAGGCATTTCAATTAATTAAACATATTAATGTGTAGGAAGACATCCTTGAGGGTGTTGAATAGCTTGCCAGTGCACGCTCTCTGTCTCTCTCTCTCTCATACACACACACACACAAATATTTCTGCATCAGCTGTGCCCTTCATTGTCTTCTCCCTGCATTTCTTGTTGAAGAGGCAAATTCAACAACCTCACTCAAAGCCTATTATAAAAACAGCCTTCCGTGCTCAATAATGTCTCTTTAAATAATAAAAAGGCTCTACAGTGTGTGTAAACTTACCTACGGGCTATATTGTAAATCCATATGCAAACAGAAATGAGATACTGAAACCGAAGCAGAGAAAGAAGAAACTGAGCAAGGAAGGGTTTGACGCTGAGCAAAAAGGCTTCTGTTTCCTTGCCGGAAAAGTTTTGTGGCCTTCGGCTATTGTCAGGGGCACGGGCAAACTTTGAGGATGGGGCATGGAAAGCCCTCATGGGAGGGGTGTCTCCAGCTATCCCACCTCTGGGCCTTCAGAACTCTTGCAAGTTGCTGCAGGAAAGGGACTATAGACAATATCTTGGAAGCTGTGTTTCCACCTACCCCTCCCTCTTCCTTTGGAAGCCTTAAAAGTTGCTATATTGTGTTGTTCTTTTAATTATATTACTGTGAAATTGTTTTTGCAGTGCTTGATGTCAAGAGGCATTCCTGTTTTGTTTTTTTTTGCTGCTTTGGGAATGATTCATTTTATGGGAAAGCACAGCATGCAAATAAAATTCCGAATGAATGAATGGTGACCCGGAACAAAGCTATGTCATAACGCAGGACTGTATCCAGTGCTCTCTGACCACTAGCACAAACGCTCTTGCACTAGCGGGAGGCTGGGTTTTAACTTTGTGCAAGAGAGAGATCCAAGACAAAAGCTGCAGTGGCAGAAACTTGTCGCACAACAGATTAAGCAATCCATCCGGCAACAAAGTGACCAGCCATCTGGTTATGCATTCTCTTACACAACAACGTTCCCCTTGGCACAGCAACATTTCCCTAGCAGAACGGGTCTACGTACTGCAAAGTGACTTTAACCTAACGCTACAACTCAAAGTGTTGTTCTGAGAGGTACTGCTGGGAAAGGTATTATTTTAAAATTTATATAGCACCCTTCATCAGAAGATCACAGGGTGTTTTACAGTATAAAACACACACCCAACTGTTGGTGACTTGTAGAAGCAAGTTGGTAGTTCACCACACCTCAGCCAGTATGATGTATCAGCAGAGTGTATGGAGTCCCAGAGACTTCCTGCTCCCGCAGAACAGCTTCTTTCAGAGTCCCCCGTTAAGGAGGAAACTCCTCTGCCACACAGCTCAAAGCAACAGTGTTTAAGGTCTTCAGACACAAGACCAAAACTGAACACTGCTATGAACTATATACAGATCTTCTGGTCTCTGCAGAAAAGATACATAGACACAGAGAGAACCACTAACACTATTACCATGCTAGCTAACTCTGCTGTGTAAAACCCACAGCCTCTTCCCTAGAGATTATTACGCCAGTCTCTACAAGTAGCCATATTTTCTGAACCAATGGGAGGGTGAAGGACTCAGCAAGTCATACACTCGATCTCCCTGTTGTTGCCAAATAGCCCAGTGCCCCTGGCACCCTTATCTCAGAACATCCAGATGTGGGAGATGTGCTCCTCAAGACACAAGACCAAGCACTGTGTAAGTCAACCCACTGTCCACATTACACCAACACAAACTACATAACACAACAATAAGAAGTGCCGATTAAACTGCTCAGGGGCATAATACCTGAAGGACCGTCTCTCTCCCTATGAACCTACCTTGATCCTGAGATCACCTTCTGATGACCTTAATGTGCCTCCTCCACAAAAGGTGCAGAGGGTGGCAACACGAGAACAGGCCTTTTCTGCAGTGGCTCCCCGTTTGTGGAATGCTCTCCCTAGGGAGGTTTGCCCGATGCCTTCATCATACACCTTTAGGCACCAGGCAAAAACATTTCTCTTTAACCAGGCCTTTGGCTGATTGACATCCAATACCCTTTTAACATGTGTTGGGGAGGACGTGGTTATTGGGTGGCTCTTGTTTTTATTCTTGTTATGTATTTTGTGTTTTTATATTGTGAATTTATCTTGTGGTATACAAATTTAATAAACTACAAAAACTACAGCAAAAGGGTATCAAAATGGTCAGGGTGATTGGAACTACTGCCCTTTTAGGAGGAACGCTTGCAACATTTGGGGCATTTTATTTACTTTAGAAAAAGAAGACAAGTTAAAAATGGGTGTATGAAGAAGATTATGTGTGGGGCAGAGAAAGTGCTCAGAGGTACATGCCTGTGAAATTGAGGTTCCCTATCCCTTGTGTACCAGAGAGCCAATGCAGTTTAGTGACTTGCTCTTTAACTATTCAGCCCCTAGATGCCTCTGGAATACTAACTCCCATCATCCCCAGCCAGCTTAGCCAATGGCCAGAGATTATGAGAGTCACAGTCCAGCGACATCTGAGGACTAAGGATGAAGTCCTTAGGCTTTGGTGGTTAGGTTAGGACCAAGGAGATCTGGGTTTAAACCACTGCTTGGCCTTGCTAGTTGACCCAGGGCTAGTCATGATCTCTCAGATTAAGCCACCTCACAGGACTTGGAGGAGCGTCAGGAGCTCCACCCTGAGGTCCTGAGAGGAAGGGTGGCATAAAAGTTTAAATGGTGATCTTCTTAAGAGTTTGGAAGAATTTGCATTTCAGAGGTGGGAAACCTTTTTCAGGCTGAGGCCTACATTCTGTTTCCAACAGACTTCTAGAAGGCATAGTCTTATTCTTATTCTTATTTTCCCTTCATCCATAGATGGTGGGTGGGTTGAGAGGCACATCACTGAATGCACATATCACCTTTGCATTAGGCTAGTTTCTAAACACACACACACACACACACACACACATACACACACAAAAACACACCTCTGTATCCTTCATCCAAACAAGCAAGAGACCTTCTCAGAGTTCAAAGACCCAATCAGGCAAAAACAGCCAAGGAGGGTGTGAAGCTGGGCCACTGAGAGGTGCAGCCTGGGGAGAGGGGCTGTGACTCAGGAGGAGGTAAGCCCTGGCGACAGCCCCACGGCCACATAGAGAGGGCTGGCGGGCCCCATTTGGCCCCTGGTCCTGAGGTTCTCCCACCCATGCTATAGCTAAATTAGTCTGTCGCTCCGTCCGCTCTAGACAGAATATTATTTGAAAAGAAGAAAAGAGTCCAACATTCATTAGCTTCAGTAAATAAGGTCATTTTGCACAAAGTGGATCTGTGCATTTTAATTTCCTCCTCTTAAAAAAAAAAAAAAAGACAAATAACCCTGGGAATAGATGTCTCATCTCCTGGCAATTTTAAACTTTTAATAAGTGTGGTTAAGCTTCAAACTGAACTAGCTGGAGACAGAAGTTGTGTGTGTGTGTGTGTGAGAGAGAGAGAGAGAGAGAGAGAATGTACGTGGTTTGAAATATAGAGATGGTGCGATGATGCTCCTGCAGATACTAGATTACTACTGCACATTTTATGGAGCGCCATAAAACATTTTACGATGTCTTGCAGAGACCATAAGGCAACATCCTTGTCATAAAAAGCACTTTCAGACCAATTCAGATATACCGAGTAAACAGGGGGCCCATTGCTAAGCTTTGATGGAAAGTCCAAGATCAGCTTCGCTCTGACTTCTCCAGAAAGGGCAGAGGTTGTGTGCTGTCTCTCTCTGTGCAGGAGACAAACGCAGGAGTTGTACGGTGCCTTGCGGGAAATGGAGGTGGGACAATATCTAAACCAGGAGCAGCAAACTGTTTGCAGACCGAGGGCCACATTCCCTTCCAGATGACCTTCTGAGGGCCATGTGCCAGTGAGAGGCAGGGGCAGGGGCACGAGTGGGTGGGGGCACCCAGAAAACTTCACAGCCAGCTGGAAATTTGAACCTGGTCTCCCAGTGGTCAGCAAACATTTTCAGCAGGGGGCCGGTCCACTGTCCCTCAGACCTTGTGGGGGGCCAGACTATATTTTTTTGGGGGGGGGGGGTAATGAACAAATTCCTATGCCCCACAAATAACCCAGGGATGCATTTTAAATAAAAGGACACATTCTACTCATGTAAAAACACGCTGATTCTCGGACTGTCCACGGGCCGGATTAAGAAGGCAATTGGGCTGGATTCGGCCCTGGGGCCTTAGTTTGCCTACCCATGTCCTAGTCTGACCCTTTAACCTTGACACCACACTGGCTTAGTAGCGGTAGTATTCAAAGATATTTTTTTTAAAAAAAAAAACCCACTAAAAAGCCTTCAAATGCGTTAGCTTTTACTTGCACGTAACCCTCAATCATTTCACTCGCCCTTTCCCAGTTCATTTTCCAACTCCCCGTCCATCTCCTTTGCCAGATGCGGGAGCCCAAGAACATCTGCTGCCCCCTCTTGAGTTTGGGTGACAGTCCTCTAAACCTGCAGTAGACCCTCAACTTGCACGTGATTTTCACTTACGCCATTGCAGCTTTGCACAGAAAATAAATAAATAAAATGGAGAGCTGGGCGGAGGGACAGTCGGAAGAGGCCAGGTGAGATCCCAAGAAGGCCCCAGTTGAGATCTTGCGAAACCTTCCCAGAGCTCAGTAAAGCAGGGATAGTCATGCAGGGGGAGTTCCAGTGGTCTTCCTGGTGTTTCACGAATTCCCCTTTTCACATGAAGTCCCACGGAAGTTGTAGGGCTACCGTACTTGCTTCTGCAGAAGTAAAACTCCCTTGAAATCCATGATGAGGTAAATAACCTGGACTGCTGAGTTTGACTGGCGGGGGAGGGGGACTGGCAGGGGGAGGGGGAGAGGGAGGAGTAGCTCAGCCTGACACAGTTTGAGACTTCCCTGAGACTGCTGCACACAGCACTAGACTCCCTCGGCTCATCTGATTTGTTTAAACAGGGAGTGTGACTTACAACCTGCCTGGGCTAATGAAGACCCGTAGAGGGAATTAGTCAATGCAATCGCAAGCAAGGAACACACACAGGAAAGGAAAAACTCAATAGGGCTGTCAGGTGGGAAATCGCCCCAGGTGAAGAATCCATTAAAAGTTCCAAAGCAGGCCTCCTGCAAGGTGGTACGATGCCCCAGCAGCCTTGGCTGGGAGGTTTTTGCCATCTATTCTCATTTACCACATTTGTCAAGGCAAGAGAGACTTTCCAGGTTTGTGGTACCCAACCCCCACACACACACCTCTTCAGAACTTTGCACTTTCCAATTTGTCTGCCGAGGACTTGCAAGAACATAAGATGAGCCTTGATGCAGCCTAATTAGGCTCATCGGGCAATCCTGCTTGGACCATGGAGCTATTTTTTGCCATGGCAAGCCCAGCTGGCGTTATATATGACATCAAGTAGGGTGCAGGTAAAGACATGTGGCAGGACCAAAGGGAGCTGGTGTCATAGTCCTCTGCTGCACAGCCATGAGCAGAGCCCATTGGAGTGAGAGGCCAGCCAACCAGCAGGGTCTCAGAGGGTGGTTGCCTGCAGGCAGAGTCCGTAAGCAAAGTCAGGTCCAGTCGTAAGGTCAGGCGTATAGCAGTTCACGTGGCCAGATGGTCCAGGGGTCATCAAATCCAATGATCCAAGTTCAAGAGGAGCAAGAAGCAGCAAGATCGGGCCAGGAATGACAAACTTTGTTTCCAGCAACTGACTGGGGTTGGAAGCCCTGCTTAAGAAGGCTGGAGCCAGCTGGTATTCATCAGTACCTCCTCCTCTGAGTCCTTGATCCAGTGCTTTACCAACTGCACTGGCTCCTGGTGGAGTACAGGGTCAGGGTTAAGATGCTGGTTTTGACCTTTAAAGCCCTATGTGGCCTAGGACCCTCGTACCTATGGGACCGCCTCTCCTGGTATGTCCCATGGAGGACCTTAAGGTCCACAAATGACAACACTTTGGAGGTTCCAAGTCACAAGGTGGTTAGATTGGTCTCAACTAGGGCCAGGGCCTTCTCAGTACTGGCCCTGACTTGGTGGAACGCTCTGTCACATGAGACCAGTGGCGTAGCGTGGGTTGTCAGCACCCGGGCAAGGCAAGTAATTTGCGCCCCCTAACCCGTGGATTTTAGAGCTGCGAGTGCGAGCGCCCCCCCCCGATGTTGCGCCCGGTGCGGCCGGCCCCCCCTGCACCCCCCACGCTACACCACTGCATGAGACTAGGGCCCTGCAGGACTTGACATCTTTCCGCAGGGCCTGAAAGACAGAGCTGTTCCACCTGTCCTTTGGTTTGGACTCAGTCTGACCCTTATGTATAGGGCCAGATGGAACCCCATTGGCTCTTTTGAAAAAATTGCATGACCTCTGCTGGAACAGTAACTGCAGCATGGCCCTCTGTCCATCGGGGACACCAAAATGCAGCAGTCCCACATATCACTCCTGAAAGACCTCTGCCATCTCCCTGGTCTGAGACTCCCGTACAGGCACATTGTAGGAACTTAAGAGCATACATGCAAGTATCATACTGAGAGCAGAAGGTTCATAATGGAAATGCCAACAGCTTCTATTGTAATTATTGCAATACTCTAATTGGAAAACAAGAGGGGAGGGGTGTGCAAGGATGTGTGAAATGTTCACAGCCTTTGGAAGGAGGCTCAGGCAGCCTGTGACTTGACATGAACTTCTCCTCTCTGGCAACAACGGAACAAGATCTTCCATGATTATTATTTTTTTAATTTTTCAAAGTAGTTTTACAAGCTGGTGCTCAGTTCAGCATCCTCCTCTCACAAAGTTTTGACACTTAACACACCGTCTTGTTCCGAGACTGGTGGAGATATCAGAAGCTTTTTCAGCCAGATGTTGCACAGGGCGGTTTCTGGGCAGCATCCTAAGAGGGGTGAGGGATGGGAAATCCATCCAGGCCATGAGCTTTTGCACGGCAATGTGGGGTTAAAGGGCTCTTGCGTTCCAGAGCAGTTAGTCCCATGGTGACACAGGCCTCTGTTACATCCCATTCGGACATCTGTAACACACAGTATGTGGGGCTGCCTCTGAAAAGCTGCAGCCAGAGTGTTGATCTGGGATGGTTACAGAAAGCAGAAGTCTCCTTTGCTAGAACAGCTTCACTGGCTACCACTCTGTTTCTGGGTACAATTCAAAGTTCTGGTAATGACCTCTAAAGACCTACATGGTTTAGGTCCAGGCCAGGGCAGTCCTCTCCGCCTTCATTTTTTCTCTTCCATTGCCTTCAACACACCAGGCCTTCTGAGAAATGTCTCCATTCACCTCAGGCGGGGGGGGGAAGGGGGGGGGACTGGCGTGGGACACTATTTTCTGTTTTGTCTCAAAACAGCCCAAAATGTCTTGGGCTGACCTAGAGAGAGAACCTGACTGAAGGTGAGCTTCATGGCTAACTGACAAAAATCTATTGAGAAAATAATAGTTAATATGTGTAAATAATAATAATAATAATACTTTTCTCCGAGAACAGGGCATCTCTGAAGAATTCATTTTCCTGCAGCCCAGTTAACAGTGTTTTTGTTCTTTGCTGGTATTTGTTGTTTTAAAAACCCCGCAACACATTCAATAAAGAATTAATTTCTACAGGGAAAAAAAAATCCCCACCATGCCATCCATGTCTCTAAAGACCTCTGGTTATTAAAGGAAAACCTAAAGAGAGAGAGTCAACATTTTATGTTCTCTGTAATACATTCTGCGCTCCTTCGCTACAAATGCATTTATCCTTTCGGCGCATGGGTACATGTTTGTGGATATTGATTCCTAATCTTCTCTGGCGATCACTCGTGGCCGAGTAAGATTGCCTTCCATGAGCACAGTCTTAACAGAGAGTCCGTAAGTGACTGTGGAGGCCAATTATCACTCCTCCCGCCAGCCAGAGTGATTATTGCAAGGCAACACCACTGTCGTATGGCACACCTCATACTAATTCAGAGTAATCTGCAACACCGAAGAGGAGAATGCAGAGATAACACTATTTTGTGATCTGATGCCAGAGGGTTAATTGCCTATTTCCACACAGAGAGAACGGTGCTAATTAGATTGCGGAGGTAAATGCAGAGATGTAACAGATAGGATAGGCTTGCACAACTTTTGACCCAGCAAAGTTGAATGCTCCGTGCCAAGTGTGGACAGGAAGCCCAAGAGAAGCCTTGCAACAGGGGTTACACTCTGCCCTTCAAGTCTCTCTGCCTGGCCCTCAAAACTCTCCACAAATAGGTACCCTTTCCCTAGTCACACCCCATACCGGCCCTGCGTCACACACTTCTTGAGAGTTTCTGCCTGGCTGGAATGTGTCTTCGACTCTGAGAAGGCATCTTTGCTGCCTTGGATGGAGGAGAGAAGGCTGTGTATAAACCATCCTACCATACGAAGGTAAATTTTGCATTTGCTGTTCTGATTACTCTTGCCTCTGGTCATGCCTGCCACTGACGTGTAGCCCTGACAGGTTGCCCAAAAAGGGAATGGAGCCCTTGAGCTGAAGAAGGTTCCCCAGCCCTTGTCTTGCTGCCTGCCTGGGATTACAAAAATTGGGGGGGTCTCCCCACACCTCCCAGCATTTCACAGGTGACACTTGGAATACCAGAGATCACCACCCAAGCCCCCTTTAGCTGTTTCTTATTTCTGAACCTTGGCGTTTTCTCAACACGTATTTAAACAGAGAGCGGACAGCTGTCTGTCAAGGATGCTGCAGTTTGGTGTTGGAGCACTTCCAGCCCACAGGCCAAATCTGGCCCTCCAGGTCTGCCCATTTGGCCTGCGGGGCCATTTCAGACAAACCACATCCATTGCTCTACACCTGGCATCAGATGTGAGGCAAGTAAAGGTGGGGCTTGGCCAAAAGAGGCCTTGTAGTGAAAAATAAATAAAGGGATGCAGGTGGCGCTGTGGGTTAAACCACAGAGCCTAGGACTTGCCAATCAGAAGGTCGGCGGTTCGAATCCCTGTGATGGGGTGAGCTCCCATTGCTCAGTCCCTGCTCCTGCCAACCTAGCAGTTTGAAAGCACGTCAAAGTGCAAGTAGATAAATAGGTACCGCTCCGGCGGCAAGGTAAACGGCGTTTCCATGCGCTGCTCTGGTTTGCCAGAAGCGGCTTAGTCATGCTGGCCACCTGACCTGGAAGCTGTACGCCGGCTCCCTCGGCCAATAAAGTGAGATGAGCGCCGCAACCCCAGAGTCGGTCCGACTGGACCTAACGGTCGGGGGTCCCTTTACCTTTACCTTAGTGAAAAATAAAATTAATAAAAGGGGTAGCAGAACCAACAGTAACCACCCACACCCCCAAATCTGCTAAAGCCACTTGGGGAAGGGTTGTGGCTCAATGGTGGAGTGTGTGCTTGGTGTGCAGAAGGTCCCAGGTACAATCCTCAGGATCACTAGGTAGGACTGGGAATGTCTTCTGTCTGAAACCCTGGAGAGCCACTGCCAAGTCAGTGTGGACAATATGGAGCTAGATGTGGCAATGCCCTGACTCACCATGAAGTAGCTTCCGGTGTTCTTAAGAAGGGCTGTAGCTCAGCGGTAGAGCAGAAAGCCCTCAGGTTCCATCTCTGGCATCTCCAGGTAAGGCTAGGAAGGATGCCTTCTCTGAAATCCTGGAAAGCTGTTGCTGGTCAGTGTAGACAACACAGCACTAGAAGAAGTGTTGTTTCTATGTTCTCCACTGCCCCACAAATAAGTTTTTATTTAGAAAACTGCCCCTCCATTTTTGCTACGGGAAAATGGAATGGTGAATGTGGAGGAGGTGTTTTGTCCCGGCCTTGTGCACACCTCCCCACACCCAGAAAACCCTCTCTATAGCACTAGGTAAAGGTAAAGGGACCCCTGACCATTAGGTCCAGTTGTGGCCGACTCTGGGGTTGCGGCACTCATCTTGCTTTATTGGCTGAGGGAGCTGGCGTACAGCTTCCAGGTCATGTGGCCAGCATGACTAAGCTGCTTCTGGCAAACTACAGCAGCGCACAGAAACGCCGTTTACCTTCCCGCCGGAGCAGTACCTATTTATCTATTTGCATTTTCACATGCTTTCGAACTGCTAGGTTGGCAGGAGCAGGGACCGAGCAACGGGAGCTCACCCCGTCGCGGGGATTCGAACCGCCAACCTTCTGATCATCAAGTCCTAGGCTCTATGGTTTAACCCACAGTGTTGGAACAAATGCCAATCCATGGAAAACCCAGCTGCCTTTTGTTCTAATTCAGCGCTGAACCCAGGGGAAAGCAGCAGGGCAAACTGAAGTGTGGATGAGCCCTCTGTCTGTTCTAAAACATTTCCTTTCCTTTCCTTTTTTTGCCTCCTAAAACCCACAATATTCATTAAGAATCCCTTTAGTCGCACAACAGCGAACCTCTCCCCTTCTCCCTCCCCCTTTCAGAGTTGGTCCCTTCCATCTCCTAATGGAGTTAAACACTCTTTGCACATCCCAGGCAAGATAATAAATTATCCTCTAAGCACATAAAGCCATTATTCAGATGGTTTTATGCAACTCTGCCAGCCAATACAAAAAGGAACAATCCCCGCATAACAGTCTCCTGGAAAATAACCCTGTTACACCCCCCACAACATCACCGTGGACCCCGCCCCAAAAGACCCCATTTGCATTTTTATAGTTTCCATTTTTCCCTCTCATACTGTATGCATGTCACATTATATATTTATAACTGCTGAATGGACCCGGCAAAGGAGAGTTCACAAACCATGTCTGCCTGTTCATTAACATTACAAATATTTGACTATTATTCCCTACACTTTGGAGCAGTCTAATGGCCTTCGTGTATCATAACGTACTCACAGCCTTGCCTGCTTGGGTTTGCTGGTTTTCTCTTGCCTGTATTTTTCTTCTGTGGGTGGGTTTATTAATTCTATGGATTAAAAAAACACAAAAAACCCTTACAACCAAACATTAATGTTCTGTTTTGAGTGGCAGCCACAGTGGTGGCGAATCTACCACCATGTACAGCTTGATCAATAGAGCATGAGGGTCTTAATCTCAGAGTCCTGGATTCGAGCCCCACATCGGGCAAAAGTTTCCTGCACTGCAGGGGGTTGGACTAGATGACCCTCGTGGTCCCTTCCAATTCTATGATTCCATGAGGCACGACTTCAATGGACAGCTCTTTGCTTGGCCCAGGCTGGAGCCTGTAAGGTAAAGATAAAGGGACCCCTGACCATTAGGTCCAGTCGTGACTGACTCTGGGGTTGCAGTGCTCATCTCGCTTTATTGGCCGAGGGAGCCAGTGTACAGCTTCCAGGTCACGTGGCCAGCATGACTAAGCTCCTTCTGGCGAACCAGAGCAGAGCATGGAAACACCGTTTACCTTCCCACCAGAGTGGTACCTATTTATCTACTTGCACTTTGACATGCTTTCGAACGGCTAGGTCAGCAGGTGCAGGGACCGAGCAACGGGAGCTCACGCCGTCGTGGGGATTCGAACCACCGACCTTCTGATCAGCAAGTCCTAGGCTCAGTTGTTTAACCCAAAGCGCCACCCGCGTCCCTTGGAGCCTGTAAGAGCAAGGCCCAAATGGCGTTTCAGTCAGCACCAGTCATCCTCAAGCTGAGCTGTCCAGAGGAGCAGCACCTCTCTCTCATTGGTCTTATGAACTTAAGAACATAAGAGTTTGCGGGATCAGGCTAATGGCCCATCTGCTCCAGCATCCACAGGCAGGACCGAAACACAAGAGTCCTCTGCCCTCCTGCACTTTTCCAGCAACTGGTATTCGAAAACATTGCAGCCTCTAACTGTGCAGAGCATACCAGAGAATTAGTAACCATCAATAGCCCTCTCTCCTCCTCCATGGATTTGCCTAATCCTCTGTTAAAGGCATCTAGGTTGGTGCCATCACTGCCTCCTGTGGGAACAAGTTGCCTTCTTTAACTAAGGCACTTCCACCCTTCGAAGGAGGTGGTTGTGGGCTTCACAGCCCAGCCCCGCGCGATTGGGGGGATTCCCGGCTGTGTCATTCCCTGGCCAGCCAATCAGCTGGCTCTGGGGGCATGGCGTGCCCTATTTAAGGCAGGACAGGCCAGGGATCTCCCTCTTTTCCTGCCTATCAGCTGTTCCTGCTTTTCCCACCCTCCTGCCCTATAAGGTTTTCGTTCCTTAACTTTGCTATGGACCTTGGTTGGTCGCTGTTAAGGGGCCTGGTAGGAATTTTTTCCACTTGGCAATTGGTTTTTCACCTACCTCGTAGCAAATCGTCACAGCTTTCTGGGTACTGACGGTTAGGCATTGGTATTGCTCTGTAGATGGAAGAGGGGAGGTAGTGCCATCACCTGCCCCGCATATTGAAGGGCAGTCCGGTAAAGGATTCTGGGGGGCGTGGCCCTGTCCGAAGCCTAGGGAGGTGAGGGCCTAAGGCACTCCCCCTATCGGTGACCCTGAGGGAGTTCCTAGTTGATGTGCATCAGCAGGACTCACCCAATGGTGGTTAACCCTTCCCGAACTTCAAGCGGATGGGCTGAAATCAGATATGGTCAGTTAGGACCAATACCTAAGCCAATACTGCTCATCACCTGTAACCAATAAAGTTGTGGCCTTATTTAGCCCATTAACTTTAATAATTGTGTCATGTGTCATTATTTCCACTGGAGGGGGTGGGAACTCACCACACAATGAGACTGAGTGGGGAAGTAATTTATTTTATCTGTCCTGAATCTTCCAAGAGTGGTTAGCTCTGCCTTCAGTGGGAGGAGTCTCTTCATTTAAAGCAGGCATAAGCAAACTTGGCCCTCCAGGTGTTTGGGGACTACAACTCCCATCACCCCTAGCTAACAGCACCAGTGGCCAGAGATGATGGGAGTTGTAGTCCCAAAACATCTGGAGGGCCGAGTTTGCCTATGCCTGATTTAAAGGGACCCAAACTTACTCGAGCACAGCAGCAGTGACTGAGGTTCCACGTGGGGTTCTGGGGTGAAGCTCTTTGATTCAGGTGAGGCATCCTGGCACCTGAGGACCAGAAAGGTCTAAGTACCACCGGCTCCTCCAGCAGAAGTGCTTCCTGGTTAAATGCTTCTTGAGGGCAATTCTGCGTCCCACTCTGAATCCACAATCCTCCCCATTATTGAGACCCCAGCAACAGGGTTTCAGAGGTACACTGCCCTGAACATGGAGGTTCTAGCTAATATCCATGGATCTCTCGCAGAGCTACAATTCTCAGTTAACGATCAATCTGTCTTGCTGGGGAACTCTGAGAATCACCACTCATGACACCCTTAATAACTACAGTTCCCTACATAAGGAAAACTGAGCAGCTGGAATCTGAAACAGGGGGCATTCCATGCTGCAACATTTTGTTGCAGACATTGATAGTTTATAGAGATAGAGGAGGGGAGGTTGAAATGGGGTTTAGCACTTCCTAGCTAACTTTGGGACTGAATTTCTTTCCCCCTCCCCACCCCACCCATCTTGCACAATGGTGCACGTCTGCACTGGTGAATTAAGACATAATTCTTGCTGCCCACTTTGTAGCATACAAAAGCAATAAACGTCTGCTGAGATTGATTAAGGGCCTCTGCTTTGCTTTGGCCATTAATCAATCTTAAAAGCCATTTATCGAGAAACTGCTACAAAGCCATAGACGATTCCTATTATACAAAAAGGGAGAGGGGTGGAATCACTAGAAAAGAGAGAAATGAATGCCCAAAAATATTTTTTGTAAAAAATTAAAAAGCTTTTATAGCTAGAGAATGATTGAACGTTTCAAGTTACCTCCTTACAGTACATACAAAGCACCAAAAAGTTCCATCTCAAATGGTTTGCTGGGATTATAACAGACAAATGCATTTAGTTTTATTCCCCTTTCTTAAAGTACTTGCATGAGTTTCCAAGGCCATCCTGCAGGACAACAGCATCATAAATGAGTTTCCTACTTCCAGGAGAAGGGCATGGATGCCTAGACCCTGACTCCACCCCCCACAGGTTTCAACAACTGGAAGATCCACATTCTTTCAATTCTGTCCTATGAATTAAAAACTTTTCTCATTGGCTGTTTGGCAGAGCAATCCAAGACGCTGGCATAAAGCAACCCAGAGTAAACTAAACCAGCGTAATATTGCACCAGACCCAAATCCCGTTGCTAGGCCATAGGACCAAACTAAATGGGCTTAGGATGCAGTCTAAGTCCAACGTAACTTGCATATGTTGGAGCCAGTATGGTATAGTGGTTAAGAGCAGTGGACTCGTAATCTGCTGAACCAGGTTTGATTCCCTGCTCCTCCACGTGCAGCTGCTGGGTGACCTTGGGCCAGTCACACTTCTCTGAAGTCTCTCAGCCTCACTCACCTCACAGAGTGTTTGTTGTGGGGAAGGAAGGAAAATGGAGATTGTTAGCCGCTTTGAGACTCCTCAGGGTAGTGATAAAGCAGGATATCAAATCCAAACCCCCCCCTGCTGCCACACCCACAAAATGGCCCTTTTTTCAGCTCAGCTGAGATGAGCAAGCTTCATCTGAGCCAGTGACTTACTGCCGGCTGAGCCTGGCTGAGCTGGAAATCAGCTGGCTGAGTAAGAGATCCACTGCATCCCAAACTGTTCATACCTGTGGATTTACGCTCACTCCCAGTGGCTCTCCAGGGTTGCAGGCAGGGCTATCTCCAAGGCCAACCTGGAGGTGCTTGGCATCAAAACTAGGACCTTCTGCATGCTCTGCCACTGGACTATGGGCCTTCCCCTACTAGGAAACTGCCTATTGGTATATCTAGTTCTTTACTGGCTACACCAGGCATGTCCAGAGTCCATTTCAGGGCCTAATCCAGCCCACCGGTCAGTTTATTCTGGCCCCTGTGGCAGTTTATTTCCTGGGGTAAAATAGACTTCTCAATGACTTCAATCTTTAAAAAAGCTCAACAACTTCAGTCCTTAAGTAAAGGTAAAGGGACCCCTGACGATTACATCCAGTCATGACCGACTCTGGGGCTGCGGCGCTCATCTCGCTCTATAGGCCGAGGGAGCCGGCGTTTGTCTGCAGACAGCTTCCGGGTCATGTGGCCAGCATGACTAACCCGCTTCTGGGGAACCAGAGCAGTGCACAGAAACGCCGTTTACCTTCCCATCAGAGCGGTACCTATTTATCTACTTGCACTTTTTGACGTGCTTTCGAACTGCTAGGTTGGCAGGAGCTGGGACAAAGCAACGGGAGCTCACCCAGTCGCGGGGATTCGAACCTCCGACCTTCTGATCAGCAAGTCCTCGGTTCAGTGGTTTAACCCACAGTGCCACCCGCGTCCCGGCCTTCAGTCCTTAAAAAAGGTCAACTCACACATGTTCACTTCATCAAATCTGGCCCTCTTTGAAAAAAGTTTGGACACCTCAGGGCTACACTCGCCGGCATTTCAGGCAGAGGTCTTTCCCACCTTTACACACAGGTGCTGGAGCGTGGGACCCTTGGCATGGAAAGTCAGAGCCCTACCACTGAGCTACAGCCCTTCCCCTAAGTGCATGAGGGTGGGTCAGGATTGTTCCTGTTGGTCCCCTCCTGAGTGCATTCAGCAGAAGACGTGAAAAGGGCTGCGAGTCAGCCAAAGAATGTCGTTATTTATTTTTCTTCTGCCCGCTTTCCATTGTACTTGCAGCGGCTTACAGCAAAAACACATAAAAATACATCAAACACTCATAAAGGCACAGTTTAAAACAACACCATTAAAAGCTAAAACACAGCAGTGAAAAACATAGCCTGTTTAAAGTGGGCGGGGGGGAGAAAGAAAACTAAAACAAACCTGCAGTAGCGGCAAAAAGGCTTCAGTCAGTGAAACGCTGAAAGGCTGCGGAAACAAATAGGTTCAAGGGGAGGCCTCACAGTTCTCAAATTAGGAAGAACGTTTCAAAGCTGCAACACCACCACTGGCAGTGCCCAGACCTTTATGGCCAAGGATGCCAACATGACACTCTCAGGTGCCAGTATGGCATCTATGGCACCTGAGAAAGATCCCCCGAAAAATCCACAATGCACAGGGAAATATTTCCTCTTCTTACTCAGTTCGGCCTCTCCTATACTGAAATCATTGTGTGGCAGCCATTTTGTGACGGGCACCCACAGAAGAACTCTAGACGAGGTTGAAATTCTCTCCCGTGGTCACCAATTGGGATGGCTTTAAAAGAATAATAAATAGATTCATGGAAGATGGGCCATCGGTGGCCATGTTGGCTCCATTCTCCCTTCAGTGTTGGAGGCAGTAGGCCTCTGAATGCCAGTTGCTAAAAGCCAGTTGCTAGAGTGCTGTTGTGCTCCTGCCTTGCTTTCAAGTTCCCCATAGGCATCTGCTTGGCCACGGTGAAATGGATGCTGGGCTAGGTGGATCTTTGGCCTAATCTAGCCAGTGCTTCTTATGGCACCTGCTCGCTGAATGTCTAAGAATGAGATCTAAGAGGCTGGTGTCAAAGGGAGGCCAATACAGTGGTACCTCGGGTTAAGAACTTAATTCGTTCCGGAGGTCCGTACTTAACCTGAAACCGTTCTTAACCTGAAGCACCACTTTAGCTAATGGGGCCTCCCGCTGCTGCCGCACGATTTCTGTTCTCATCCTGAAGCAAAGTTCTTAACCTGAGGTACTATTTCTGGGTTAGCGGAGTCTGTAACCTGAAGCGTCTGTAACCCGAGGTACCACTGTAAAGGTAAAGGGACCCCTAACCATTAGGACCAGTCGCGGACGACTCTGGGGTTGCGGCACTCATCTTGCTTTATTGGCCGAGGGAGCTGGCATACAGCTTCTGGGTCATGTGGCCAGCATGACTAAGCCGCTTCTGGCAAACCAGAGCAGCGCATGGAAACACTGTTTACCTTCCCGCTGGAGCGGTACCTATTTATCTACTTGCACTTTGACGTGCTTTCAAACTGCTAGGTTGGCAGGAGTAGGGACCAAGCAACGGGAGCTCACCCTGTCGCGGGGATTCAAACCTTTGGCAAGTCCTAGGCTCTGTGGTTTAACCCACAGCGCCACCTGCGTCCCTTCAAGGTACCACTGTACAGAGTCCTAATTACAAAGCTGGGCATTGTAAGCATGATTGGGTGCTCCTCTTGCGCTGTTCAGGGGCCCATGTTGGTGCTCTGGCAGAGGTGTGCTTCCCCATGTTCCTCCCTCCGTTACAGCCAGAGGTTCTGCAGTGCCCCTTGGAACCGGCAGGGTGGAAGGTAAGGAGGCCAACCATAGGTGAAGCCAGAGCCAACGACAGACAGAGCAAAAGGCTTCTCACTTTGCCTCTCTCTTCTTCCCTTGTGAGTTCTACAAGGGCAACATTGGCACTAAGGAGGAGGAAGCTGTCAGGCTATCAGTACCAGCCCTGGATTTCTTGTAAGAAGGGAGGCAGGTGGGTGCTTGGAAATGGCGCTGAAAAACCAGGACGCAAGTCAGGAAAAGAGGGCAGTGCCAGGTTGTGGGGGAGGTGGCCGCCCGAGGGAAGGAGGGAGGAAGGAAGGTGCCAACTTGAATAAAGTATGGGGGTAACCCCCCTCAATATTTTAGGGGGGGGCAAAGGGACCATGGCCCCATAGATTTGGGTCCTATGCATGGACTACAGCCCTGACCTTCAAGGCAACGCTGCAAAATGGGGCAAAATGAGCCCCTATACAAATATGTAGATCGTGGCTATTTGCACCAGAGTGAGAGAGAAAACTGAATGCCATTTTGGTCTATAACCCCGTGTTGCCTGAAATGGAACACATTACACTCTGCTGACACACAGACATGATTAAAAGCAATCAGTTATACTTGGGAAAGTAGGGAAAAAAGAATACCCTATCTCCCAAGGCAAACATACTCCTGCATATATATCTGACTGAAAGACAGAAAAATTCTATATATAAAACACCTCCTGGGTCTTTATGGACATTACTAATCGACTGAAAAAATAAGGAGAGCCCATGAGGAAACTTGTATAAATTAGATGTCGGAGTTGCCGTGATCTTTATTTCCTGTTGTGTAATTCTGTGCTAAATGTGTAAACTGCACGGTGAATAAATTCTCCCTATAAGACTAGATGACATTTAAAAACCTTGTGGAGGGTGCTTAGTTATCCAGAGCTGTATCCCACCCAGTCCAAAGGCCTCTTGGCAAAGGGCAGCAATCTCATCCGCCTTCGGGGCAATTTTGGTTGTGCACAAGACAAGCAAGTTTGGGTGAGCACACAAATGCCGATTTTTATTTTTATAACCTCAAATACGGGACAAATTGGGGGCCAAATGAGACAGGGGACTCTGTGCCCCCAAAAGCCCTCTTATACTCCTTCCTGGCCAGGAGAGCCAGAGGCACAGAAGTTTTTTCCCTGAGAAGCTGTAATGCCACAGGCTCACCACACGGGGCAGTGGACAGCAGCTCCTGACTCTTAAATGAGGAGCTGCAGTAACGTGGCTCACCACATGGGGTCAGTGGTCAGCAGTTCCAAACACTGTCCCCACTACTCATTCGTTTGCCTTCTCCAGGCCCAAACACACAGCTGGCAATAGCAGGGAGGCACAAGGCAAGCAGAGGACACTGCTCTGTTTCCTCACTCTTGCCACACAGCTTGCCTGCTTGGAAAGTGGAAGTGAAGAGAGAGTGTCAGCAAAGTACAGGAGTAGGAAGCCCTGGGGATCAGCAGTGGGCTCCTTGCAGGATGTGAACCTTGACTAGTGGGTGTCCAGTGCCTGACGCAAGCCCTAGGCTCCATTTCCTTGGAGGAGGTAGAGCAGAGAGCAGAGGATAAAATGGATGGCAATGAAGCTGTATGGGAACAGTAAAATAAAGCAGGTGGTAGCATAAGGAAAGGGCTCCCATAACGTATTGACTGCAAGCCTTACTAGACAGAGAACATCATCATGAAATCTTACTTGGAGATGCACATTGGCTGCTGTCACACAGGACCCTGGTCTCCTCCCCACCCCCTTTCCCTAATCCAGTCTGTCACATTATGTTAGGCAATATTAAAGTAAAGGTAAAGGGACCCCTGACCATTAGGTCCAGTCGTGACTGACTCTGGGGTTGTGGCGCTCATCTTGCTCTATAGGCCGAGGGAGCCGGCGTACAGCTTCCGGGTCATGTGGCCAGCATGACTAAGCCGCTTCTGGCGAACCAGAGCAGCGCACAGAAACACTGCTTACCTTCCCGCCAGAGTGGTACCTATTTATCTACTTGCACTTTGAACTGCTAGGTTGGCAGGAGCAGGGACCGAGCAATGGGAGCTCACCCCGTCACGGGGATTCAAACCGCCGACCTTCTGATCAGCAAGTCCTAGGCTCTGTGGTTTAACCCACAGCGCCACCCGCGTCCCTTTAGGCAATATTAGGAGACCCCTATTCCCCTAGCAGAGGTACAATTCCCTGGGAAGAGGGATTGGTTATTAAGCCACTCTAAGAACTGCAGCTCTGTGAAGGGAGTAGTGGAGGGTCTCCCAAGAACTCTCCACACCCTTTACAAACCACAGTTCCCAGGATTCCTTGGGGGAAGCCATGACTGTTTCAGTGGTATAAGAGTGCTTTAAATGTGGATGCGCTGAGAGTTGTTAAGAGACCCCTATTCTTCATAAAGAGCTACGATTTCAAGAGTGGTTTAACAATAAATTCTCCTTCCCAGGAAACTCTGGGAAGTGTAGCTCTGGGAGGGGAATTCTTTAGGGGAAGCCATGACTCTTTTGAGTTATATGATACAGCTTTAAAGGTATTGTTCAGATGGGTCTGAATTAGGACTGATGGATGTGGTGGACGTACCCCAAGGTAAAAGGCTTCTGGGAAAGGATTTATAATGAACTGAAAAAAGTGTTGGAAAACACAATTATTAAGAAACCAGAAGCATTTTTACTTGGTATAGTGGGGAGTGAAATCCCCAAAAAGGATGTTACTTTTTTTCTGTATGCCACAACAGCTGCGAGAATATTACTAGCGAAGAATTGGAAGAAAAAAGATTTACCAACTATCAAAGAATGGCAGATGAAGATGATGGAACTTGCTGAACTGACGGGGAGACTCCGAGATCAGAGAGAAGAGACAGTGGAAGAAGATTGGAAGAAATTTAAGGAATATTTGAAAAAATATGTTAATATTTAAATCTTAGAGTAGCTTTGGAAGTGGATATAGGCTGTAGGGTTAGAAGTAGAAGATAGTGAATTTTAAAATAGCATTATTTGTAAGTGATAAAATGTGAAGATTCTTATGGTTAATGTAAGCATGAATTTTATAAAAATGGTTAGAAATTATGATATATGTAAACTGCTAAAGATGAGGTAAAATGAAAATCAGATAGGGGGGACTTGGGGAAGCCCACCCAACAATGTTTAGAAAAAATAAGGACAAGACAAGAAATTGTTTGTATTGTTTGTTTTTTTTGTTTGTGTTGTTTATTTGTGTTATAAAATGAATAAAATTTTTGGAAGAAAAAAAAGAATTAGGACTGATGGAGTATTATTGTTTATATGAGCTGTTATTGTTTCATTCTTTATTCTTTCTTACATTTGCAAAAAAAATTATGCTTAACATAATAACAATAATAATAATCACAGCCATACCCAGGGTCTCTTGCCCCCTTGGCAGGGAGGTATATCAGCACACACCCCTGAAAAACAAACTTCTCATTGCAATAGTGCCAGTGTGTCACCATACACACATACGTCATGCACCCATAGTCTCCAGCAGTCTACCACCATCCCACTTTGCCATTTCTCCAACTGGCCAGCTCCCAACTCTTGTCTAAACTTAGGACCTTACACAGATAACTAGAGACAGATTTCTAGGGGGGGGGGTTGCATCCCTCTGGGCCTGCGCCCCCAGCAAGGGTTGGGTGCACCTCTGATAGTAATATATTCTTTTGTAGGGGGGTGTTTAACTGTACATTCCCTTGGTCTCCTCTTTCAGTGGAGAGGCGATCCAAGGATGAAATAAATAAAATTCCATCGCTCTTGCTGCCTTTTGAGATCCATGTTAAAAGTAGGCACAGCATGTCTCTCTTGAAGTTGCCAGTTATAACTCCTTCCTTTTCTGGTGTCTTAACGCTCTTCTCAGCATGCAACACTTTCCAATTACCTCTCGGCCTTTTATTCCCCAGAAGTTGAGCGCCAGCTTCTTTCTGAGATTACACAGCTCTGATCTGAGATGCTGACAGTTAAAGGTACAGCAAAAAAAAGAAGGCGATGTAAATGATACAGGCTGGATTTTCTTTAAGAAAATTAAAATGTTCTCAGGTTCAGAATGCTTGGCACATTCCTTGATGAGCAAGTAAAGATATCTGGCCTGAATCACAATAGTGGTTCCCTGTCTTGTTAGTCCAGGTGTATCCACATTACTATCCACACTGCTGTTGTGGCTGGTCTCTGCGCTTTATTTGTTCATTAGATTCCATTTATGAATCACTTCCCATAAAATATCTCAGAAGGAATTTCACAGTAAAAGACACCGACCATAAAAACAATTAAGATGATTCCATATATAAAAACAATTGTGCTTGGGGCAGCCAAGCAGTCAGATGGGTGGGGTACAAATAATTAATTGTTATTATAAAATTATATTATTATATACAAAAAAAAACCAACCAATTTCAAGTACAATGTAGATACAGACTGGGGTAAAGATCTCAAACAAACAAAAGAAGTCCTGCTGGACTCGACCCATCTCGACCAGCATCCTGTGACCAATCAGATGCCTCAGAGGGGAGGCCACAAAGAGAGCACAAGAGAAAGTCTCTCCCCTCCTTCAGTTTCCAGCAAAGGTGGTCAGAAGCACTGCAGCCTCCAAATGTGGAAGCAGAGCATAGCCCTCAGGGCTAGTATCTCAACTTAAAAGGCTTGTTGGGAGAGAGACGCCTTTGAGAGGTTCTGAAAAGATAACAGAGGCAGCATCTATCTGATGTGCAATGGGAGGGGCTTCCAAATGGCCAGCACCACCACACTTAAAAGCCCAATTCCTGTATCAGAAGGGCAGACCTCCAAGAAGCTGGTACCTGCAGGAGGCCCTCTTCTGCAGAGTGCAGTGATCAACAGTATACACAAGGGGTGAGACAACATTTCAAGACATCTTGGTCCCAAGCTGTGTAGGGCTTTTGTGCACCAGAACCAACACCTTGAAGTTAGCTCGGTAAATAATTGGCAGCCATGTAAGCTTTAAAACTAGGGTGCAGAACCTGCAAGAGCATAAGAACAGCCTGAACCGCCTGCTGGACCAAGCTTCCTGCTCTCACAGATGCCTGTGAGTGGGAAACCTGCAAGGTAGGACCTGAGAACTGTGGCCCTCTCCCCTCCCGTGTCTTCCAGCAACTAGCATTCAGAAGCATCACTGCCTCCAACTGTGGAGGCAGATCACAGCCGTCATGGTCAGTAACCCTCAGCAGTCTTCTCCTCCATGAATTTGGCATACAGTCTATCTATGTGGACCCCTGTGTGCATACACATTACACATCCACAGTTAGCTTTCAGGAAGATGACGAAGACACTGTGCTAAAAACCTACAGCAGAAGCAGAGTCTTCTCCTTCCAGCATGTAACACACCTGGATTTTGCTGCAGAAATGAATTAGGGCTCAACAGCCTACCTTCTGACCAGCTCTGTGTTTGATGATACAAAGGATGAGCCAGCCAACCCAAGTGGGTTCTGCTCTGTTGATTTATGACAGCACATACATATCTTTTGAGGGGAGAAAAACCTTTTTAAAAACCACAACACTTACCTTAGTGTAAACTGATCTGCTAGAGACCCGCTGGCAAGGGATACATGAAACATGACAAGGTCACCTTCCTTGACAGGACTGAGTGGTAAAGAAAGCACAAGGTTATCGTCAAGATTCAGCAGGGACTTCTTTAGCCGGTCTTGCGTTGGGTAAAGAATAACACTGCCAATCCTCTCCATTGATGCCAAAGGCATCTGTGCTTCCTCTTGCCCTTCCAGATGATGAAAGCTTTCAAGTTTCTGGTCCTCTGAAGAGCATTCACCTTCCTCTGCATACACCCAATAGAAAAGCTCCACGGTGATCCCTTCCAAAGAGTCCGCCATCGGTTGATACTCTGGGGCCAATGGTGGCGGCAGAGACGTAAATGCAGAGTTGAACCAGCTTGGCGAGAACTCCAGCTCTGCAACGCACAATCCCAGCTGACCTTTCAACCGACAACTGCCAACAGCTACTCTATCCTCCTGGAAGGCCATCATCCTCACGCAGGGCAGGATCTCCGATGGTTCATAGTCTTCCCAGTCTCTGCCAGCGATGTAGAACAAAGCCTGGACTTTGGGCCTAATGGGATAGATGGAGCTGTCAATAACACGTGATCTTAGCTTCCAGTTAAAAGCGACCTCGTTGGCAAAACTGAACAGAGTGGATGTCAGCAGGAGGTTTGGAGGCACCGTTTGCTCCACAGTAAATGGGCCGTATGTCACATTTAACACCGGCAAGCTGGTGGCTTTGTAGACAAGGAAAGACTCCACTCGAGACTGCAAGCTAGCATTCCTCATGATATCCTGGTTGGTTTCTTTTAGGAAAAAGGAAACGTCGGTGTTGGAGATGTGGTAACTCACAGGGAGGTACACCGGCAAGCTCGTGAATCGTTGCATGCTGTCTACCACACCTCCTCGGCATTCCACCACTGCAAGCAACAGAAAATAAATTGCGGAAAATGTAACTTAGAGGCCCTGTTCATTGTTCCCATTCAGCCCCTGTTCAAAGCAAATTATCTGCCATGCATTGTAGAGCTTTTAAAGAACACCGGGGAAGGTTGCTTCTTATGGCCAAATATCATTTTATGACTCAATGAAGGCCTATAGGTCAAAATGGTGGTCCTGTGTTGATTTCTCACTCATTTGCATTTCTCCACCCCCCCAACCCCAGAACCAACCAGAGTACGAGGCAGAAGGGGGCTCTGAAGGGGGAGTGTCCTTTTGGAGATGATCTTGTCCTAAAGCAGTTACTTTTACAGAAGGCCCCGATAGAAAGCTGGGCTCCAGATCTCTGCCCGAAAGGAGGAGCCTCCAGGCCTCCTGTGAAGGAAGAGGTAACACTGGGGCTCTATATCAGGGGCAGGTGACTGGATCCTGCTGCTGACCCTCCTTGGGTCAACTTTGAGAGGAAGGTGGAACCACTCACCTGTCAATCCTCTGATATCGCAATGATGGCAGGTGATGGTTTGGTAGTATGCCACCAATCAGCTAATTCGTAGTGCCGGCAAACTCTGCTTTCAGCAGGGAGTCAGGTCTTACCTGCCCCACACTTGGCAGGGTGGGGTCTAAACCAAGTCAACCCAACCCAACCACATATAGGTTTAGACAGCCTTGAGGAGCAAATGTCAAGACCTGGAGAGCCAGCTAACAAATCGATTCTGTATGTAAGTAGACTTCTTTCTGATGTCCATTGAATGAGTGAACATCAGAGGAGCATGGTGGGAGGCAAGAGATGACTGCATGGTCCTGGGGCCTCCTCAGCACATGGAGAGGTTTCTGTAACATCTCCACCCCCTTAGGATTCAACACACACACACACACACACACACACACACACAGGTTCCTATTGAGAAAGTTAATGGTAGCTCTTAAACACAAAGGAAACAAAACTCCCAGTGGAGTAAAAAATCTGCCTTGGATAGTGAAACACCAGTTGATGCTAAACCGGGACGATTTGAACCAGAAATGTTAAGAAGCCAGCTAGATGGAGGGAGGGAGGGAGGGTGCATATTGTGGAGAAACAACAGAGGCCCACCAACAGATTAAGATCAAACATGGTACTGTCTGCCTCAAAACCTCAAGGTACCAATTTAATACTCATCATTATTGGGGAGAGTAGACATGCAATACTGTGACACCACCCCAAAACAATTAAGACTTTGATGGCACCTGTTACTAGCAAGGATGACTCAGACAATGCCAGCAGACTTTGCAGTGAAAAAAGAAAAAGTGAAATTTGCAGGCTCCTTTCAAAAAGGCTTTCATTTTTATGTCATTAAAACTGCATTCCTCAACTTCCCGTGCCAAATCACTCATGAGATCTGTCATCCTGGCTCCAATCTCATCCTCTCTATTTATAAAAAGCTGTTCTGTTTATTTTCAGCCACTTGACATTACCTACATCTTAATTAAACCCTTCTGCATTTTGATCAAAGCCTATTCACACCTATCCTCTGTATCTCAGTTTCTACACTTCTGGGAACAAATACATCATTTTCTTGAAGGGTTGGCCCCTAACAATAGGCAGAGTGGGGCAGCTGCCTCAGGCAGCAGGTGTTAGGGGCCTTAAAGCAGTTCTCCCTCTCATTTTCCCCAAGTCCCCTGAATTAGCCAGTTCGCTGCACCTCCTAAACTAGCCTGCTGCCCTCAGCAGCGGTGGTGGTGGTTGACTCATCACCAGTGGTGGAAAGAAGATTCAACTGCTAGTTCAGATGAATTCTGCATATGGAACAGGGACTGCCATCTTCACAAGCCCTAATCCCCAGGATAGTTCAGTTGGTAGAGCATGAGACTCTTAATCTCAGAGTTGTGCGTTCAAGCCCAATATTAGGCAAAAGACCCCTGCACTGCAGGGGGTTGGACTAGATGACTCCCTAGGTCCCTTCCAACTTTACAATTCTACGATCTACGATCTAAACTTGGGTCCAACGTACCTTAAGTGCCACCTGACTAAGCTCCACCTCAATCACCGGGGTCCTCTAAGGAAGCCTTTCTGGATGTTCCCCGTGTGGCCCCTGAGGTTCGGTCACACTTTACTAGGAATCTGCCCTTCAGTGTGACAGGCAAGAAAGAAAGAACGGTCCAGTGGAGATTGAGTGTGCCATGAAATGCTGGATGACTAGCTGTTGTGAATAAAAGTGAAAACCAGGGTCCCATCTGTGCATTAATTTGCAAAGCCCTGAATAATTTAAGCCCAGGGTATATTAGGGACCACCGACACCTTTATAAGGGACGCGGGTGGCGCTGTGGTCTAAACCAGAGAGCCTAGGGCTTGCCGATCAGAACGTGGGCAGTTCAAATCCCCACGACGGGGTGAGCTCCCGTTCTTTGGTCCTAGCTCCTGCCAACCTAGCAGTTCGAAAGCATGTCAAAATGCAAGCAGATAAATAGGTACCGCTCCGGCGGGAAGGTAAACGGCGTTTCTGTGCACTGCTCTGGTTTGCCAGAAGCGGCTTAGTGATGCTGGCCACACTACCCGGAAGCTGTACACCGGCTCCCTTGGCGAGATGAGCGCCACAACCCCAGAGTCAGCCATGACTGGACCTAATGGTCAGGGGTCCCTTTACCTTTACACCTTTATAAGCTCTTCCCAGGGAACCGCTCTTCCCAGGGAATTCTGGGAATTGTGGCTTTGTGGGGGAGCGGGGAATAGTGGTCTCCTACAACTTTCAGCACCCTTAACAAACTACAGTTCCCAGACGTTTCGGAGGAAGCCATGGCTGTTTAAACTGGCATGATACTGCTTTAAATGTATAGTGCAGATGAGCTGTTGTTGGGAGGGAGGGAGGCATGGAGTGGCTGAAATGGTGAACTCCACGCTACAACATTTTGCCACGGGTCTCTCTTGTACCTTCGCCTTCTTGCTGATCTCCTTCCCAACTGGCTCAAATGCATCTTAGTTACAATAGCCATCTCAGAAAGCAACCTGGATGTGCCTGCAAAGTCCCTCTGCCAGACGCGAGGGCCATTTCAGCAGACTCCATTACCAGGTGGCTATTTATAGAGGCCCTTGACAAGGAACGACACACCACAGCAGAATCTGAAAAATGGAAGTTTCCACCAGCTGAAGCTGAACTTGATGTCTAGGTAAGCTGAGAAGAATCAAAGGAGAGCGAGAAGGAGGTAGAATCATAGAATCATAGAGTTGGAAGAGACCACAAGGGCCATTGAGTCCAACCCCCTGCCAAAGGAAGTGCTTTTGTCTGCCACTTAGGAAATGAAAGAGCTTATCACATCTGGCAGGTTCCCTATTATATTATAATTGAGGTGTGGAAATCAGCCTAAAATTTGGTCTAGCTGACTCCCATCTTCACTGCTACAGCCTTTTCCTCTTGAACCTGTTGAGATTTCTATTCCACCTTAAGGAGCAGACATGGAACTGTTGCGTGTCACATGTCTGTTTACATACCAGCACAGCTTGCTGGGAACTTCTGTTGTGTGTATAGCTTTTGCTTTTCTCTCTGTGTCTCTGAGAAGACAAAGAGAGGGACAACATGTTTCTTTGTCCTGATTTATGATTAATAAATCCGTAGTTGTAGTATGCTTCCACAAGCCTCACGCCTATCCTGTGTGCGCAGTTCTCTCTGCTGAAATAGTATGCCCTGGCTTTGAAGCCCAGGTTGCTGATTTACACTGGACCAGAGACCGATGGGTCTTCGCAGCGAGACGGCTGGAAGGAGATAGCCCAGTTGGGCCTAGCCAGCTGGCCTTGCGGCCCTCTGCATACCTACAGAACCTTCCCTTGTCACACCTCAGCATTCCTTACTTCTTTAGGTTGCTCAGATCCCTTCGTTAGTTCTGCATCCCCTTTCACATCCCGCACAAACACCTGAAATGCTCAGGGTCAGGTAATTAAAACTAATCTGAAGGAGATTCAAGACAGACCTAAGCAAGGAGACTGTTGCCTGCAAAGCACCTACTTTGCATTATCTTCAGTTATCTGATGTCTAGTGGATCAGACATTTTAGTTGATCAAAAGATTGTTATTTTTAAAAAAAATTCAAAACCAAATCATCTACTAAACCAGCTTTCCACAAACTGGAGCCCTCCAAATGTTGGTGGACTGCAATTCCCGTCATTTCTTACCTTTGCCCATGCTGACTAGGCTTAGACTCATAGAATTCACAGCTAAAGCATCCATGACAGATGGCCATCCAACTTCTGCTTAAAAACCTCCAAGGAAGGAGAGTCCACAACCTCCAGAGGGAGACCATTCCACAGTCGAACAGATCTTACTGTCAGAAAGTTCTACCTAACTTTTAGTTGGAATGTTAATCCTACACTCCAAAGTAAGAGAAAACAGGCTTGCTCTATCTTCCATGGGATAGCCCTTGAGATATTTAAAGATAGCTATCATATCTCATCTCAGTCACCTCTTTTCCAGGCTTAACATACCCAGCTTCCTCAACCGTTCCTCCTAAGGCTCGGTTTTCAGACCCTTGATCATCTTGGTCACCCTCCTCTACACATGTTCCAGCTTGGCCACATGCTTCTTAAGTTGTGGTGCCCAGAACTGAACACAGTATTCCAGGTGGGGTCTGACCAAGGCAGAATAGTGGTCCTATTATTTCCCTTGATCTGCATACTAGACTTCTGTTGATGCAGTCTAGAATAGCATTACTTTTTATGCTGCTGAATCACACTGTTAATGCATGTTAAGCTTGTGGCCTACTATAACCCTCTAGATCAGGCATAGACAAACTCTGGCCCTCCAGATGTTTGGGACTACAATTCCCATCATCCCTAGCGAACAGGACCAGTGGTCAGGGGTGATGGGAACTGTAGTCCCAAACATCTGGAGGGCCAGAGTTTGCCTATGCCTGCTCTAGATCCTTTTCGCATGCAGTGCTGGCAAGCCAAATGTCTCCCATCTTATATTTGTGCTTGATGAGAGTTGGAGTCCAAGAACACCTGGAAGATATCAGTTTTGAGAAGCCTGCACTAAACATTGCAGCCCTACTGACACATGATTATTTAAATGTCCAAGTACATACATGGGAAATAGAAAACTTGTCTTATACCACGTCAGACTGTTGATAAATCCCACTCAGTATTGTCTACATTGACTATGCAAAGAGACTCTCCAGGGTTCCAGACAGGGCTCTTTTGTCAGCCCTATGTGGGGAAGCTGGGGATTGAACCTGGGACCTCTTGCATGCAAAGCGGATGCTCGACCACCGAGCCATGGCCCTTCCACAATAAAGCCACATTCCAATTTCCACACAGAGATGGGGTCAGCAGAGTTTTGACAGCTTCTGTTCATTAAAAGGTGCAGATAAGAAATAAGAGCTGACTTTCACTGAAACTTTAAGAATTCACTTCCTAGAACAGAAGCTTGATTTGCACATCTTTTCCTTGATGTGAGACAAGCCTCCCACAGGACTCTACCACCTTAGACCTCACACTAGGAAGAGATGGTATCTTGCCAGAAAGCATGCTCCACTCAAAATTATGTCGTGTGTGAAATAATTCATGTCAAGAGAGGAGGCTTCTAGCTCTCCCCCCCAAAAAAAAAAAATTGTCCCTCCAGCCATGATATCTGAGGTGGTTTGACTGTGTGATAAGACTGTACCACCACAGAGGCCAAACCCTGATGTACTCTCCGATTATCAAAAACATAGGCTCTGCCCTGCTGGGTCAGTCAAAAAGTTCCAAACAGCTACAATCCAAGAAACCCATGAAGACAACTGTTCTCCTAGGTCATTTCTTGCGTGCAACTTGAACATGGAGGCTCTACATAACTGTCATGGCTTGAAGGCTGCCTCAAAGGCCTTGGATAAAATTAAACAAATATCAGTGGCACGCAGACAGCTAATTGGCGCACCACGGTCCTTGCTCAAATCTTGGTGGAACTTCTGCTGAAGAATAAGAGGATTCACCTTTCTGCATCCAGACTGTAGCCCAGTGGTGGAACACCTGTTTGCACACAGGTGTGCCAGGTCCCTGACATTGCCAAGTGTTTTTAAAAAGAGGAGGAACGAGAAGGAAGTCTTTGCTTGCCAGGCCTCTCCATCTGGTGCCTGGAGTCCTCCCCAAGCCATACCCCTCGCTGGTCTTGCTTCGCTGGCCCCAAATGTTTGGGGCCTGTCTGGAAAGTGTCCTTGAACATGCCTCTTGCTTCCCTGAATGGAGGACAGCGAGGGGTGTGTGGCTGGTTTAGAAACCAATAAACACACAGGACGTAACCGGCTGTACTTTTGAATAAATAAGGTTCATTGTATCAAATTGAAGATTTCAACGGAAGTCTCATAAAGTTCAATGAAAAAAGCAGAAGACCCAATGGATCAGTTCATTCTCTAGTCAGTTCATGCATAAGGTCCATACATGTAAAAGTGTCTATTCCACCTGTCTGTTCATAGAGTCCAATAATCCACATGAAGGGTTGTTACAGTTCCACAGAGTCTAAGACAAGGATTTCCAGAATATTAGCCTTGTTTCGCCATCCTAGGCTTCATCTCAGATCCACTATCCTGTAATATTACATATGAGCCTGTACTACTGATGACGCATGGATGGCGAAACAAGGCTAATATTCCAGAAATCCTTGTCTTAGAGACTGTGAAAGGAACTGGAATAGACACTTTTACATGTATGGACCTTATGCATGAACTGAAATCTTCAATTTGATACAATGAACAGTATACCTTATTTATTCAAAAGTACAGCCAGTTACGTCCTGTGTGTTTATTGAGTATGTTTCACGTAACCATAGGTTTGTTGTTGTTTTGTGTTTAGAAACCAGCCTGGAACACAAAGGCAAATTGTGCATTTGTTGCCCCACCCACTTTTACCTCTAGCTCCACCCACCACCAGCATGTGGCCCCTGGAAGGTCATGCAGAAGGATGTTCAACCCTCGGGCTGAAAAAAGGTTACGTACGCACACACACCCAAGGGATCCACTGCCACTTTCCACAGCAGTGGAAGCTAGAAGAAGAAGCTAGAAGAAGAAGAAGCTAGAAGAAGAAGAAGAGTTTGGATTTGATATCCCGCTTTATCACTACCCGAAGGAGTCTCAAAGCGGCTAACATTCTCCTTTCCCTTCCTCCCCCACAACAAACACTCTGTGAGGTGAGTGAGGCTGAGAGACTTCAGAGAAGTGTGACTGGCCCAGCAGCTGCATGTGGAGGAGCGGGGAAGCGAACCTGGTTCCCCAGATTACGAGTCTACTGCTCTTAACCACTACACCACACTGGCTCCCTATCTAAGCTAGATAGACAGGTGGTCCTATCCAGTACAAGGCAGCATCTAATATTGCTAGAATTCCATCCCTCCTCTGAAAAATATGCAAGTGTTGATACTGTGCTGTACATTGCCTTTGCCTTCTCACACTACTCAGGAACTTCACCTCTTTTGAGTGCAGATTTAAAATATTGTATACAAAACATATCTTCCTCTCCCAGTTTCATTTCTTCCCCCCCCCCCCCCCCGTAACTGCAGTTCAGAGCAACCTTTGGGCACAAGGTGCAAGGTGGAAGAACCCAGTCATGGGGAACACAATTTACCCTGAGAGCTTGTATGGCAAGCCATAAAGCTCAAGTGATAGGCTGCACTTGATCCCAGTCTCCCTGCAACTCAATGCAAGATCTGCATTTAGCGGCATTTTCATGAGGCCACAGGGACATCTAAAAAAGCCATCATTCTTCCCAGAAAGAGATAAGCACTTCCTCGCTACCACCTTTCTGTCCCTTCCAAGATTCAGGAGCACTGGCATGAATCTGAGTGTGGAAGTGGTGAAAAATGAGGTGCGGATCCAGCTCTGGGAGCCTGACGCAACGCCTAGCAAATTACCTGTTGCGCTAATGGCGCTTGCATTGAGATCCAGAGCAAAGATGAAGAGCCATCAGCTGGCTCCATTGAAATGCAATCAAACAAAAGACCAGCAGTGGAAAAGGGAGCAGGGAGAATATGTAACACAGCACGGAAAGGGCTGTTTTGCAGAGGGACATTATCTTATTTTTATCATTTATTAAATTTCTATACCACCCTTCATCCGAGGATCGCAGGGCGGCTTACTATATAAAAACACTTAAATACATAACAACAACAAAGAAAAACAATACCATCACCACCCCACAGTTTAAAAGGTTTAATTAGCCAAAGTATAGAAGTGTATAAAATCATGCATGGCATACAGAAAGCAGGCAGAGAAATATTTTTTCTCCCTCTCTCTTAACACGAGAACTTGTGGACATCCTAGGAAGCTGACTGTTGGAAGATTCGGGACAGATAAAGCAAAGGACTTTTTCACGCAGTGTGTAGTTAAAACTGAGGAACTCCCTCCAGCAGGAGGCAGCGAAAGCCATAAACCTGGATGGCTTTAAAAGAAGATTACCGTATTTTTCGCTCCATAAGACACACTTTTTTCTTCCTAAAAAGTAAGGGGAAATGTCTGTGCGTCTTATGGAGAGAATGTGTGGTCCCTGGAGCTGAATTGCCCAGGGGTAAAAAGCAGGTAAGGCTTTTTTTTTTCCTTCTTTTTTTTTTGAAAGAGGAAAGTGGGTGTTGAAACAAAGCCACTGATCGTTTGCCACTTGGGTAGAGAGATAAGGGACGCTAGAGATAAAGGAGGCTGCCTGGGAGGGGGGAGGTAAAGACATCACAGGGGGGAAACAGGAAGACGAAAGCAATAAGGAGAGAAATTAGAAGAAAAGGAGGAGTAAAAAACTGCTCTAGCTAAGGAAAAGACACTAAGGCAAACAAGAGGGAAGGGAGTGTTAAAAGGAAACAGCTGATTGGTGGGATCGGAAGAGAGATAAGGGATGCTAGAGGAGGCTGCCTGGGAGCGGGGAGGTAAAAGCCCATGGATCCTCAAGATTCCCAAATTCACCATCAGATCACATAGCATGTCCATGGCTACAGCCTGCACCAAAAAAATCATGCATCCACTGTTTCCTGGGGCTGCAATGGTGCAAAAATGTGGTTACAAAGCACGGATCCACATGGATCCTCAGGATTTTTGCACTGGGTCACCCCAAGTTCACCATCAGATCACATGTCTGTGGCCACAGCATGAACCACAAAAATCATACATCCACTGTTTCGTTCAGAATATTTTTTTTCTTGTTTTCCTCCTCTAAAAACTAGGTACATCTTATGGTCAGGTGCATCTTATGGAGCGAAAAATACGGTAATTCATAGTAGATAAGGCTATCCAATGGCTATGTTCTGCCTTCACTGTCAGAGGCAGTATGCTGACAGTTGCTGGAAACTGCTGGAGGGAAGAGGGGAGAGCTCAGGTCCTGCTTAATAGCTTTCCACAAGCATCAAGCTGGCCACTGTGAGAACAGGATGCTGGACCAGAGGGACTACTGGCCAGATCCAGCAGGTCTTTCTTATGTCCTTATGCAGTGCATAAGGAACAGAGAGTGTGGCAGAGTCAAGCCACAGATGTGGGCAACCACAGCCAAATCCAGAGGTGGGGCAGGAGCTTTCAGAACATGCATTGGAGCAGGAATAGGCAACCTGTTGGGCTCAGTGGGGCCCATCATTATCCCCCCTCCACCCCATGAACCAACTTTCTCCCAGTCCTGCCACACTCACAGGCACATTTGGTGGGGATGTGAGAAAGAGCCTTTTCGGTGGTGGCTCCTAGACTTTGCAACTCCCTTCCCAGAGAGGCTGGACAGGCTCCCTCCTTGCTGTCCTTCCACCAGCAAGTGAAGGCTGCCTTATTCCAGCAGGCTTGGGGGGAGTGACTGCTGTTAAGGAAGGGCCTTTTAATAGTGCTGTGCTATATTTACTATGTGTATTTTAATAGATTTGGAGTTTAAATTGTTTTCATTCCATTGTATTTTAATTACTTTTTAACTATTATCTTTCATGTTTTTAGCTTCCTATATTTTATCCGTGTTTATTTCACCCCCTGGAAACAGGGTGATGCTTGGTGCTACCATCCCTCTCTTGCAGGGGTGTGTGAATCTTTTGCTCCGGGGTGGGGACCATGTGGCTCTGCAGTTGTCCTGGACTACAACTCCCATCATTCCAAACTATTCTGGCAAGGGCTAGTGGGAGTCGATCAATGTGAGGAGGGCCACAGGTTTCCCCATCCCTGTTATTTATTGATGCTTTTGAATTTTGGTGCTGGAGGAGACTCTTGAGAGTCCCATGGACTGCAAGAAGATCAAACCTCTCCATCCTTAAGGAAATCAGCCCTGAGTGCTCACTGGAAGGACAGATCCTGAAGCTGAGGCTCCAAT